CGGAAGGGAAAGGGAAGGGCGGAGGGGGCTCTGTGCAGACCTCGCCCGGCCGCGCCACGCCACGCCGCGCCACGCCACGCCCGCCCCGCCCCTCTCGCCTGTGGCGCGGCTGTGCCTATGTCAGCCTGCCTAGGGCCGTGGCGGCAGGAAAGGGAGGGGGGGGGAGGGGGGCTCCTCTCGGAGCGCGAATCCTTCCAACAAAGGCACGCCGCCGCACTGGCCGGGGCCCTGCCTGCCGGGGCCCTGCCTGCCGGGGCCCGGCCTGGAGCCACGTCGCTGGAGAAAAGGGCGGCCGCGTTAGATTGCTCCGCTCTGCCTGGACAGTGCGAGGGCCTGCAGACCGATTCCGTCGCTCTGTCTCTCTCGCACCTTGAGGGGACGCCCCATGAGTGCGAGAGAGACAGAGCGACGACTCTCGGAATGAGTCCGCTGCAGCGCTGAGGCAGCGATTCGCCGTCAGCGGCAATGGGTACGCCACGCCGCCTCGTCTTATCGAGGCCCGGGCCGCCCCGCGGGGCCCCGACCCGTCCGGGGCTCTCCTAGATAAAGAAGGCCTTGTTGGCCGTCGTCGAGAGCGAGGTCGATACCGCTGCCGCTGGCGGAGCGGAGCGCGGAGCTAGTGCGGAGCCCCGGCCCCGTCCTCAAAGCACGGGGGCGGCTTTCGTCGGGTCTGCCGAGCGATTCTGAAGGGCGAGCGGTTGGTGGCTCTGTCTCTGTCGCACCCTCATGGAGAGCGCCGTGAGTGCGAGAGAGACAGAGCGACGAAACGCCTCTTCTGAATGGCTGGGACGCCGCCGCCGGGCGCACCGCACGGAAGCCGGACTAGTGGCCGTCGCCGTCGCGGCGCCCCGGCCCACCAGCACACTGATTCCGAGAGTCGTTTTCGTCGCTCTGTCTCCCTCGCACTCATGGGGAGGCCCATATAGGTGCGAGAGAGACAGAGCGACGAAAACGACTCTCGGAATCAGTCTGCAGGGGGCTTCGTCCTGGCGGCGAATTCGAAACGCAGGGGTGATTGGCTGGCGGTCCACGCCTTTCGAGTTCTTTATTTTTGCCGGCGTCTGCGGTGCCCGCGGCCCCAGGGCCATTCCGTTGTGGTTTATGGCCTCTGCGATGTGCTTCGGGCGCCACGCGGCACGCGCGCGTCAAGCGACGCGTTTAGCGACGTGCACTCGCCGAATCCGAGCACCGCTTTCGTCGCTCTGTCTCTCTCGGACTCGCGGGCGCCGCGTGCAGGTGCGAGAGAGACAGAGCGACGGCCTGCCTCTTCGCCAGGCTGCTCGTCTCGGCCCTTGGCGTGCCCAGCTTGCCCGGCCTTGCGTTGGCTGAGGCGCTTCTTGACGGCGGCGGGCAACAGCTCGCCGGGGGCCTGCCTCGCCGGCCTGCACACTGATGCCGCCGAGAGTCGCTTTCGTCGCTCGGTCTCTCTCGCACCTGTGCGAAGACGCCTCATGAGGGCGAGAGAGACCGAGCGACGAAAACGACTCTCGGAATGGGTCTGGCGGCCTGGTCTGGCGGCCGGGCCGGGCGGGGGCAGGGGCAGGAGAGTTCTAGGCTAGCCTCTAGCGCGGCCAGGCCCGGCCCCGGCCGACTGGTGCTGGCCGCGGCGTGGCGGAGCGCGGCGGCGCGGCGTCGCGAGTTCAACGGCCCATGGCTGGTGGCGTAGCTCCGCGTAGCTCTAGCGAAGCCAGGGAAGCCAGGCTAGCAAAAGCCGTGGCGAATCCCACTCCACTCCGGCCGGCCGACCGCGTTGTATTTTTGGTGCCACGAAGCGCGGAGGAGCAGAGGCAGTGGCCGGCGAGGCAGCCGGGCCGCCCCCTGGACTGGAACTGGGTGCGGAGTCTGCACACCGATTCCGAGAGTCGTTTTCGTCGCTCTGTCTCTCTCGCACCTGTGCGGGACGCTCGTGAGTGTGAGGGAGACAGAGCGACGGAAACGACTCTCGGAATGAGTCTGCTGCCCGGCCAGGCGCCCCCTTTGACGCGGTGTGCGGTGCCCTTACGGTGCCCCGGCCGAGGCCCAGCCCCGGCCTGCCGAACGCCGGGCTGCGAGTGCGCCCCACGCCCTGGCGCCCCATGCCTCATAGGACCAGGCCGGCCGGGCCGGGGCTGGGCCCCCATAGGCCCCATAGGGTGGCCCGGGGGCTGTATCGATGAAAGCGAAAGTGGAGGGGGTGGGGTGGGGGCCCAAGGCCGCCGCTCACTCCCCATGACGGGACGGCCCTGTCTGGCCTGGCTGCTTTGGCTTCACCCCCGTGGCGTGGCGCGTAGCGCGTAGCCCGCCTAGCAGTGGCCCGGCGTCGCGTGGCGTCGCGTAGCGTCGCGTGGCGTCGCGTGGCGTCGCGCCCCCACAGCGCCATCCCTGCTCCAGGCCCTTTGTCTGTACGGAAGTCGGCGAGGCCCCCGTCTCTCTCGCTCCCCCCCCCCCCCTCACCTCTCTCTCTCTCTGCCCCCCCCCCCCCCCCCCCCCCACAGTGCCGCGCGCCCCCAGTGGCCCCACGCACACGCACCTTTCCAATATTCGGTTGGGGCGGCCGCTCTTCTTTCTCCCCTTTTTGCTGGCATGGCGGGCCGCGGGGCCGCGGAGCGATGTGAACAGGTGTGGTGCCGGTGGGGCGTCGCGTGGCGCCGCCACTGCTAAAAGTCCCCTTTGTTTGGTGCGGGAAAAGTGCGGACCTTCCCTGATGGGTCTCCGCATCTCATGACCTCTCATCACGGCAAAAGCAGTACCTGGGACGACCTGGGATACCCAGGCTCCTCCTGGAAAATTTACACCCTTTTCCAGAGTGGGCGTGCTTTTGCTGGATAACATACGTGCGGAACCTGCGTGGTTGGGAAGATACGGTCGGTCCGGGTGAAACAATGTCCTGAAAACATAGAAAACACTTTTCTGTCCTTTTTTCCATCGGTGGCCTTCGGACTGGACCAAGTGACACCCTTCGGGGCCTCTCTGTTTCTCTGTCTCTCTCGGTGTGTGGCGGCGGAGGAGTGGGAAGAGCCAGCGAGAGTTTATGGTGTCGCAGACGCAGCCGTGTTGGCCGAATGCCGCCGTGAGGCTCGGCAGCCCGGCGGACTCGGAGGCCAGCGAACTTGAAGGGCCTGGATCCCGCCCTCTCTCTCTTTCTTTCCGTCCCTCTTTTCGGAGTACGGCACCGCTTACGCAACGCGGCCCTCCACTCGGTCGGGAGCGCGCCGTGGCGGGGCGGGGCGGGGCGGGGCGCGGCCAGTGCTGTTGTCCTCGAGCAGGCGTCGCGGCGGCGGGCATGGCATGGCATGGCATGGCATGGCATGGCATGGCATGGCATGGCATGGCATGGCATGGCTTGGGTGGCGTTCCGGCCGCGTAGACGCATCCTCGGAGCCGCGCCGCCGCGCCGGCCAAGCCCAATTTAGAGCGATGTTCCGAACGCCTCGTACAGTACCGCGACCGGCGAGACGCGACGCCGGTTTTGTTCGTTTTCGGTTTGGGGCTGCGGGCGATAAAAGTGGTGGCGGCCCTCTCCCCTCTCCGCCAACCTGTCTGGTGGTTTCGGAGGGCGGGAATGGGGAACCTTGCACCGCGTGAAAACGGCCGGGGGAGCCGGATTCGTTCTAAAAGAGGGTCTAGATCGTCACCCCTCTTAGAGAAAACTCACGATCAAGAGCAACTGCACCGCTGGAGGCGGTCAAAATCCTGGACGCGTTTTCAGCTGCAGAGTCGCTTAATGGGACTCAAACCGAGTGTGACCCCACCAATGGATTCCTCGTTCGGAGAGCAATCCGTTGGTGGGGTCGTACATTCGTTTCGAGTACCATTCGGTGGCTCTGGAGCCGAAAACGCGTCTAGAGTGTTGGCCGCCTCTTCGGTCTTCTGGCCCACTGTGCCCCTCCCCCTTTCCTGGAGCCGCCACTGGACTGACCTGTCTCTTCGATAGTGCTTCTGCGGCACTAACGGCATGGCGTGTCTGCTTGCAGGTGGACCGTGACAGGGAGACGCCCCCGGTGGACGTGCAGCACGCGGAGAAGTACGACTCTCTGCTGGGCGCGGGCTGCGGGGGCGCGTCGCAGGACGCCTCGCAGGACGCCCTGCACTACCTGAAGAAGGCCCGGCTGGACGATGCCGTGCTGCCGCCGCACGCCGTCACCGCGGCCACCGCCGGCACCACCTACATCCCCGCGTACCCCGCCGACCCCGCGTACCTGTACTGGTACGACACGTGGGCCCTGTCCGCCTTCAGGCCCTGGCACTCCCTGTTCACCGCCAGTAAGGACGGCAAGGCCACCCCGATGCCGTTCCTCAGGGACAGGTGAGCTGAAGCTTCAAATTTTTTTTACGTAGTAAAAAATTTATTTTTTCACGCTTTAAAATTTTATTTTTTTTACGCTTTAAAAAGTTATTTTTTACGTGTTGAAAAATTTATTTTTTTACGTATTAATTCTTTTTTTTTTTTACTTGTTAAAAAAATTTTTTTTTCCTCTGTTAAATGTATTGACATTTTTGCTTTTCTTTGCCTAGCTTGCCACCTGTGCCCCCATACCTTGGTCAAGGGCCACCGGTCCTCTTACACCCCGACAGAGTGGTGCCCATGGAAGAGTACGACAGGTTTGAACGTTCATACCAACCCAATGTGGCGTTGTTATCTGTCCCAAGTCAGGAGCCAGCTGAGGTAAGTCCCATGAAGAGGAAAATGCTACTTGCTGGTTAGTGTGCGTCATGTGAATATTGATTGTTTCTTTCCTTCTTTTCAGGAGAAGTATTCTCATGTGGATGTGACGAGCACTGAGGATGAGGAGGCACCACAAGCAAATGATCGACCTAAATCTCCGAGCCATGCTGTTTCAACGATCACTTTGAATCCTTCTCGCCGCTCTCCATCCCCTGCCCGGTCCCCATCTCTACCACCACCTCCTCCTCCCAAAACTCCCAGTTCCGCATCAGTACCATCCACACCAACTGTACTCGCACCGCCTGTGACCTCTGTTGTGACCAGAGCTCGATCCCCTGCACTCAAATGCAAAGCAGAAGTTGAGATGTCCAGTGATACAGAAGACAGTGCTTCTGAAAGTACAGGTAAAATTGTGAAGCATCTGCACAGAAGTCCTTCTTACTTTGTGAGTAAAGCTTGTTTCTTACTTCAAAATTGGTTTTGCACAGGTGTGGACACCAGTGTAGCTGCTGTTCTTGAATCTCTAAGCTCTGATGAGAAGGATGCGAGAATGGCGAAGGTGCTTCGATCACTAGTTAAACGCCTTGGTGAAGTTGAAGCGGAGAGGGGCCGTCTAACTGCAGAGAATGAAGTTCTCCGCAGGAAAACTCAGGACCAGGATGCTGTTATATCACAACAAGAAAGAGTTATTCAACGACTTCAAGAGCAACATGAACGATTAAACAGCAAGGTGAATAAATATTAGTATTTTTAAGGTTGAAAGCGTAATTTTATCCATTTGAAAGAGGTTCATTAAAAGTTTTCTTTGTTTCTGTAGCATGATCCTGATGCCTTCCAAGATAAAGTGATGGCCATGGAGAAAGAACTTCGTACACTTCGCTCAGAAGTCAGCCGTCTACCCAATGGCAGACATGAGAGTGTCTCTAAAACTGAGGCTGTTACCAATGGATCAGATACTGAAGAGAGAAGTCCCATCAAAAGAGAATCCGTTGAAGCTACCAACATTGCTGTTAGTGTTATTCACAAATCAGAAACCCAGGCACTCAGCGGGACTGAGTGAAGTTGAATTTTTACTTATTTTGTTGTATCTGATGTTTTGTCATAATCATTAATGTTGTTTGAAATCATTGCCTCTTGAGGCACAAATTTCTGAGATTGTCATCCTTGCCACTTCTCTAATTCAATCTCTGTGAGATTTGTTGTTCAGCTATCTTCTGTATCAATTGAAACTTTATCCATATATATTTGTTGTATATATATATAAATATCCATCAATTCATCCACGCTTTGGCTAAGAGCCATGCTCCATCACAAAGCTGAAATTTGGTATTATCATAAACTTTTAGTTTAGAGTTTCAACTATATTTATTTCTGTACTGGTTAAGGGAACATAACACATTATGTTCCCACCCATCTTAATTGGTCCCGGTGACAAATTCTCCCTGATCCAGTTGGTTAGTGTTACAAACTATTTGTTATATTGTTAACAGCGCATGCTATGTAGTTGTAGATTTTAGCCTCCAAGGCTTACAATTTTACTAAGCAGGAACTGCTGTCATCTTGAATCACTTTATTCTAGTCTCTACAAAAATTGCAATGTGAGTAAAATCCTTTTTACTCATTTGCGTGTTCAATGTGATCAGTTCTCAGTTTTCCCTCTTTAGGTAAGAAATCTGTAGACATTGAGAGAGTGAATTTATAGTTATTATTTCTATTATTTCATGTAAAGGAGAAGCAGGATATAGAAAGTATTTTGTGATCTCCCTCATTTAATCTTAATTGCCAGGTGCTTTAGCTGGTTCTCAATTTCATTTTGACTAGGTTGATGTTTAGGATAAATGTTGTAGACTTTGGATTTTATTATTTGTTAATTAAAGTAGATATAAATGTGCCAAGCAGAAGGCTTCTGATGTTTTTCTAATGCCTTCTGAATATTAGTGTCAAAGTTTCCAAAATATTCATATGTTCCGATTTATAGATGTTGCTTCTTTGTGTTTTATGTGTTCTCTGACATGAGAAAAAATAACAGTACAATAGAGGACACACTTGTGTGGATGTTGAATCATTGAAAATTAAGTCAAGTTATTTTTGGCTTCTACAACAATGTTTTTGCTCTGTTCTGTGTTGGCTGTGTTGTCTGATTTGTCCGAGTCAGTGTGTTTGTGTAATTTTGTGATGGTTAATGTAAAACGGACAAAAATGTACAAAGAATAGCTGTTTTCCTCCTGCCAAATGAATATGGAGGATTTATGACCAAGCAGACATTAGGCATTTTGTAACAAACTTGCACAGTATGTTTCCACAACCAAATACGTACTATCTCTGTAATTAAGAACAAATTAATAATGCTGGACACCTACATTGTGGAACACTCCTGTTTTTCTTTCTCCATGCTTCTTTTCTTTATTTGTAAGGCTCTCATGGGACTCTTTTAACTCTTGTGTCACAATTTGAAACTTCAGTATTGTGTCCCATTACTGTGGTTGTTATTACATGACAGCAGCCTTGGAGTAGGATATCATCATGGTATTTACAACCAATATACTAACTTTCCCAGTTTTGATGAGAGCCTTGATTCATGATCAATTTGAAGTACAAACCGTTGATTGTGCTAGTTTTGTCAGTAATGCTTCATTCTATTTCATTTGTCTTTTTAAATTCAGTCAATATTTATAATATTTTTAATATCTATTATAGTTCAAGTTGTTGTTTATTCTTGTTTTGTTTCTGAGAGATATTTGTAAGTGTGTCGACATTCGTATATTGTGCTAGGGACATTTAATTAAGCAATTGAAAGCTGTGACCCCCCATACTGTTTTCTGTTTTTAATTGTATGTTATTAGTATCATGTCTATACCCTACACACTCTAAATTGTTCTATCTTGTGAACATGTTTTATCAAGTCTTAATATCTATTATTGACTAGAAATGAATGTGTTGATAGCTATCTATGTGATCTCATAACTTTAAATTATTAGCTAAGCATTGTGCTGCTCCTCAGCAAGCTTGCAAGACAACCTTTTAAGTATTTAACAGTGGAACAAGTTTTTCTTTCATATCAGCCTGTGGAGTTGAGGTTCATGTCTCCAAGTGGCCATCATATTTATCCTCTGTCATATTTAGAGTTCCCTGGGAACTTATTGTTTTCTGTTTGTGTACAAAATTTTCTTCATATCGTACATGCAACCGCTGAGTGAGTTGGTTTGTTGATTTAACATTTTTTAACCGCTCTTATCTTTCCATCTCAGGCATTGATTTTCCTTTATCATCAAAATGATACATTGCAGTGGATATAGGAGCCCATCTTTGACCATATTTTGTTGCATTTTGTAAACACGAAAAGTTAGCTATCTACACACCTTGCACATTTGTGTGTTAATTTTGAGGAGTAAGTGAGTGACAGTGGTATAGTGGTGTGGCTTGGTACCTGGATGACAAGTCCGTATTGGTTTCAAATCATTTCATTTGCCCCAATTTTCTGATTTTAAGAGTATCAGCCTTATCATGAAAGAAAATATTTCTGAAATTGTTTGATTTTCCTCCTAAGGAACCAATCAGCTTTCTAGTCTCCAAATAAATCATTTGAACCAATGCATGGTGTTGTCATCCTATTGTGTATCACCTCCTATGCCCCACTGGGCTGTAAAATGTTTTTTATGTTAACATTGTTGCTGTGGTTTGTCCTCTTGTCTATAAATACAAAATTACAGCATCTCAAAAGTTTTAAATGGTTGCATTCTCTTAACTATTTTTCCCTCCTTCAATCACACTTTGTCTTCTGTCTGTAGTAGTTGTTTATCTAATTACTGTTACTTTCACCATAAGGAATTCTTCGTTTTTCAACCTGAGTTTGTACAGTATGTGTAGTCTATCCAAACCATACATAAAAAGACTTATTTTTGTTATGGAAAAAAAATGAAAAAATCAGTTAATGGGGACGAAGCTTATACTCCCTTGCCACATCATCGTAATTGAAAGTGATTTTGAAAAAGTTTTGTTGGTGGTTTTGTCACATAATTTGGCCTCATCTTTTAGAAATCTTTCGGATATCTATGATTTGCTGGTTGTAGGGAAACCTTAATTAACTGTATCTATAGACAGCATTGCAAGACGAGCACAATCCTTTTCCTCATTCCCCATCAAATTGCTCCTATGCCATTTTGTTGGGGAGATGTATTTGTCTGCTAGCTTTATGTACCTGAACCATATGTTGCCTGCATTTTCGAAATTGGACCCAAATTAATTTGTGCTTGTGTATAATAAATCTGTTGATTGCTCATGCTTTCTGAAAATAAACTTAGATTTGTCATGGTTGCACTTATTTTACAAGAGAAAAATTCTTTTTGTACGAGACTTACAAATGTATTTGTAATTCACGTTCATTTGTAGTTTTCTGACATTTTTTTCCCCTTTTCTAAACATCTGATTTCATTGCAATGAGTATATCAAAACATATTGTAAATATTATTGGTCAAAACACTGATATTATATTTTATCATCTTGATGTGAGATTTTTTTAAGATTAGGCTGATAATTTAAAAGCACTAGTGAAATTACATGTTTCTATTCAATGCTATAAGGGCCAATCATTTCAGCAAATCATTGAAGGGAAGCATTGATCTAAGGCCGCTCCATGGTTTACAACGCATAAAGGTCAGGAAAGGTCTTCACATTTCACTTATGTGTGATTTTTGTAAATCCCATTATACTGTGAACACATTGTTCAGAGAGGACAGACATTGTATCATATTACTTGTCTTTGCAAATTTAACTTTTCAGTTTTTCGTCGGGGGATGAGCCCTTTTTTCAAAAACAAATCTAGCGGAATGCACTATTTAATGATTACTCTTAATATCGACCTAAATTTCTTGAAACAAATTTTTCTCCCCATACATTAATGTAACTTTTTGGACCATTAAAATTTGCTTGTAATGTCATGCCTTACTTAGCATTGTCTTTAAGGTCTGAGTAAATATAAAATAATCATACTTAGATGGTATCATCTTCTTTCAGAAAGTTCAAAAACTAGATGTGTTAGATGTATAGTACTTGATGTGTCTGACTTTAGCAGACATTTTTAGTGGACTTTTTGATCGTGTTTTTATACATAAGGTTGATTTGTGGTTTTATTGCCAAAGACAAATACAAGGGCTTCTTTACGCCCTCATTTAACTATGAGAAATAGGTGTCGAATAATTTAAAGGAATTTTAAAATGAAAAGTGGCATGCCTGTATCCCGTAGGGGAAAGCTCCCCCATATTCTTGACCAATTAAGTTGTGAATCAAGCTGCTTAAAAATCTGCCTCTTCATTTTAGCATTACAGGCTATTACAACTCCTGCCTCAAAAAATTATGGAAGTTTTTCACTAGAATCACTTTTATATCTAACGTAATATTTACTGATTGCATGAAGTGGTGAATATTCCAGACTAAATCTAGTGATAGTTAACTCATTTCAACTTATGCAATATACTGAGGCCTGATAAAAACCAAGCCAAACCTTGACATTCTTAATCATCTAAAAATCCACAAGTGTTTGTGCTTCATTGATACAAATTATTCATCCTGATACATCCTCAAACAACTGATCTTTCTATCATCCCTTCTGTGTGTTACATACTCAATAATTGGCATAGCTGCTTTATGTACTACACATGTTTCTCTTTCTCCACAACTGTCTCTTCAGATTTGTGGCTCCCATTTTCTTTAGATGCTGTGGATTGGACGTGTAGACCACCTAGAGGCCACATTTGAATCATCAATGAGACTGAGTACAGAATAATTTAATTAATTCAGTGAGCAGTTTTATTCTACTTGCGTTATTTGCTCTTCAAGAAATCATCACTAACTTTATACACTGAGGATGTGCAGGATTGTTTCAAACCAAGAGAGAATAAAAACTCTCACTGATAAATAAGTGTGTGTGTACTTGTATATGTATTTGGAATAGATGTTCTATGTTGACAATGTAGTTTCTTCTCTGTGCAAATCAGCTTATTCAATTATTTGTCTTTTCTCACATTGATTGAGTTGACTCGTCTGTAAAGAAGATCAACTAAAACAAAATATGAAAGGCTGCAAATGCCTTTTTTTTTACATCTAGGGCAATCAATTTTGAAGGCGATATTATATCAATAAAATCATGTCATCTGCAATGGTCAGGCCCTGCTCTTTTCATTTTTCCTAACGCCCCATACTCCATTTTCATGAGATTTTCACAACACACACAATTGGTCATTTTGAATCAAGGTGGACAAACGTTAACAGTACACATGAATTTCAAATAAAAATTTTATTTGTCAGTGGATTCAGAGTCTCCTTTCAAAGCAGCTAAAGAATCAATGAGTTTCAGAGCAAATGATTCACGATATTTAGGGCTGATGCTATCAAGAAGCGCATATGGAGTTTCAAAGCATACCAAAGGCTCAACGGTTGAACTGTCATAACGAACGTCAACAATTGCAAAGCCCATTTTTGACATTTGAATACAATAGTCTTGCCCTTCTATTGTGGTTAAATTTAAGAAAATAAAATCATCCGTTCCCTCTAGGTTGGATATGCTTATCTGTCGAACATGATTTTTTACATCATTGATAACAGCAGTCGCTTCTAGATGCCACTGGTCCTTGTTCAAAACCTTCTCATCTCCCATGTCAGTCCTAGAAAATGATTATAATAAGTAAGAACAAAGATTTACTCACATATTACATCCCAACATGTTATATGAGTTGTTTTACCTCAGGACGTTTTTACGATGTGAAGAAAGAATCCATTGATCGCAGATTTCACGTTCGTTTCAATGTTTGCTTGATTCAGCGATAACTTTGAGAGCAGTTCGAAGCGAAGTAAATGTAAAGATTCTCAACTGCTAACTCCTCTTCTTTCTGCCTTACGTCGTCTGCTACAGCCTAACCTGTCTCGCGCACCGGGGGAAGGGAAAAGAGGGGAGGGGCGGTTTCCATGGTAACTGTTTGTTTACATGTTTACATCTGGTTGAAACTGTATCATAGTGCAGTTGCATGAATAGTTTTTGATTCAGAAGATAACAGAAAAACATGATTTCTTTGTACGTCGAAAACTGATGTGTTCTACTCGTTGGTTATGAGAGAGTAGAGACGTTGCCAGCTACAACTGAAAATCCCTGCTCAAGGCGTCAAATAAAATAAGTTCGACATGGATATTGAACTGTCAAGAATAGATTATTCCCTTTCAGGAATAACACAACCTCATACAATGGAACTCTTGCCAGCTGCTGGTCCTCGTCTAGCTCAGAAGGTTAAGCCAACTAACAAGAAAAAAATCAAAAGACTCTAAAAAGTTGTGAACTTATGTCATTTCTACTTTCTTGTTTACAACAGGTGGTTATAGGAGATCAAGATGGAGTGTTGCAATCGTTTTCTATGAAAAAGGGTGAACAGCAAATGGTTTTCAAGACACTTCCAGGCCCTGCAATTTCTCGGATGTGTCTTGGAGGTGCTGCGGGTAAGTGTTTGTAGTGTCCTCTGCGACAAGCACTGTTAAAGTAACACAATTTTAATTCTTTCTTTTTACACCACCTTCTTATCTCCAATTTTAACCAAAACAACTCATCCTTTAGGTACTGTCAAAGACAAAATTTTTATCTCAAAGAAAGGGGAAGTCCACGGATTTACGAAGAAAGGCAAACTGTTCCTCAGTTTCGACACTTGTTTGGCGGAGTCCATTAAGTCAATGTAAGAGCTGAGAGCGTCTGACTCCTGCATTGTCTTTAAATTTTCTCACTAACACCTCGTTGTTCGCCAGGCACATAAATGGGAGTACTCTTCTTCTATGCGGAAACACAGTCTACAATCAGTTTAGAGATTGCGAGGACACAGGCTCGTTCCTCTCGAGTGATGGAATCACCGACGTCATCTCCTTACCAGGTGAAAAGGTACTCTACTAAAAGAGGCTCTTGAGTGAGTACGCGGCAAACTCTGCATTTCAGTCCTCCAAGGCAAAGATGATTTCTTCCACCACTGATAGTTCCTTGAGTTCAGCCCCAAGTGCACATACCGCCTACCCACACTTTCCTTTCCCTTTCCCCTTTCACTCTCCCTATGCCTCGGCTCTGGTCGGGTAGGGGCAGTCGGCAGTCCATCGGCCACGGCCACTGCAGCGGCCAGTGAGCGCCTGCAGGGGTAGGCGCCCAGCCACGAAGGCGCACTGCCAGTCTAGCCAGCCACGGCGAAGGTAGAGTTTGAAAGTTCGAACCCCCGCATCACGCAAATGGCGAAAGCGAAAGTTGCAAGAGTCATCTATGAGACAACAGACGTCAGAAACGAGTCCAGAAATCAAGGTATACTCTTTGCATCAGACTCGCTGCGCTCTTCCTCCGAACCCAAAAACCCAGTTGAGCGATTCCGCTCCTCTCTCTATCCATCTCTCTCTCTCTCCTACGGCACACTTCATGAGTGCGAGAGAGGCAGAGCGAGGAGTGCAGGCAGCCGGATCGCTCGAAAGATCCACCTCGGCATTAACCAGGTCTTTACCCTGCAGACCCGCAGCCTGGTGGCGGTGCTGGCGTGCGCTGACGGCGTCCTCAGAGTCCTGGACGGCGCCGAGCTCGAGTCGCTGAACCGCCAGTCCAGGGCGTCCTCCCGGGTGTCCGCGACGGCGCCCTCCTCGGCCACGTCCAGCGCGCTGCGCCACGAGGTGCGCATCCCCGGCGCGCCCACCGCCCTGCACCTGGCCAACAACACCGGCGGCGAGGCCGGCCAGAGCGTGCTGTTCGGCACGGACGACGGCCGCGTCGGCGTCGTGTCCGTCACGAGGTGAGTCCGCCAGCAGACTCATCCCTCCTCTTTTACTGTGATACTGTCGGGGCAGTCCGTAGAGGTGCGAGAGAGACAGAGTGACGAAGCAGTGTTCGGAATGAGACGGCTGCGCTCTCACGTCCGAGTTGATGTGCAGGAACTCGCCGCCCGTGTGGCGCTGGCTGGCGGGCACGGAGCGGGCCGGCGCCTCGGTCAGCACGCTGCACTGCCACGACCTGACGGGCGACGGCGAGCTGGACCTCATCGTGGGCCGCGACGACGGCAGCCTGGAGGTGTTCGCCGTGGAGGCCATGGCGGACGCCGCGGCCGCGGAGGACGCCGCGCACCGACGCTTTACCTACGTGAGTGGGGCACCATGGCATGTGGTCTAGCCTCTCAAGTCCAGGCGTCAAGCGCCTGTGACTCTCCGGGTAGGCAAGCCTCTCCACTCGCGTGCTGCAGCGTTGCCTACCCGGAGAGTCACAGGCGCTGAGCGCGTTGAGATTTCTGGGAATCGGTGGTAGTGCCAGAGATGGCTTGTCTGCGCGCCGCGTCGCCTCGTGTCACCTCGCAGTGGCCTGGTTCCGAGAGTCGTTTTGTCGCTCTGTCTCTCTCGCACCTATAAGGGACGCACCAGGAGTGCGGGAGAGACAGCGCGACGAAAACGACTCTCGGAATCAGTCTGCTACTTCCGCGCCACCCTCATGTGTGCCGTGACCTCGGCTGCCTTGGCCGCCTTGGCCGTGCTGCAGACGTGTCCGGAGAGCGTGTCCACGGCGCGCGGCGGCGTGCTGGGCACGCAGGGCTACGACGAGGTGGTGGTGTCCACGTACACGGGGCTGGTGTTCGGGCTGACGACGGAGCGCGTGGACGGCGTGGCGGCGCTGGCGCACGACGCGCAGTCCGTCAGCATGACCGTGGGGCAGGACACGCGGCGCCGCCTGCAGGCGCTGCGCGCCGAGCTGGACGGCCTGGAGGAGAAGGTGTCCGCCGAGCGCGACCGCTACCTCGCCGCCGCCGAGGTGGGCGACAACGTCCTCTCCGTGGTGCCGTACCTCAACATCAACCACAAGGTGAGCTCCGACGTCCAGCACGCTTCGTAAGTGCGAGAGAGACAGCCCAACCGATCGTCTGAATGGCTCGGCAGATGAGTCTGATCCGGGAGGAGGCGGCCTACCTGCTGACGCTGGAGGCGGCCACGGCCATCGACAACGTCCTGGTGCAGTCCGACGTGCCCGTCGACATCCTGGACGTGGACCGCAACTCGGCGGTGGTGTCCTTCAGCGACTGCGACGCCGAGGAGGGCAACAAGGCCCTGGTCACGTTCCGCTGCCAGCTCAACACGACGCGCCTGGACCTGCGGCTGCGCACGGTGGAGGGCCAGGCCGGCCTGCTGCGCGTCTACGTCACCCCGCTGGTGGCGCCCAAGTGCGCCGCGCTGCGAGTGCTGCGCGTCGCGCCACTGTCGCTGCACGCGCGCGCGCACCAGGCGGACGCCATGGCGGACGCCGACAGGTGGGTGCAGTGGAGGCGGTCAAAATCCCGGACGCGTGCAGAGCTCCAGAGTCGCTAAATGGGACTCGAACCGAGCGTGTGACCCCACCAATGGATTGGTCTCGGAACGAGGAATCCATTGGTGGGGTCACACGTTCGGTTCGAGTCCTGTTCAGCGACTCTGGAGCTCAAATCGCGTCTGGAACTTTGGCCGCCTCCACCGGTCTTGTGGCCCATTGTGCTCTGGAGGCCTCTAGGTGCAATAACGTACGAGGGGTGACCCACTGTGAAATTTTGTATACAATGATAGTAGGAATTTGCACGGCGATTTTGCCTCCTGAATGTTGTGTCGAAATTTTGTTCGATGAATGTGCTAAGTTGTGCCTGCGTCGGTCCTGTTCCGACTCCAGGCCCTTCAGCGTGCTGACTCTGCGCGGCGCCTTCAGCCTGGCGGAGATGCACGCCTGGCTCACAGCCTGCCTGCCCGACCTCTCCGACAAGCCGCCCTCCGAGGCCACCACCCTCTACTTCCAGAGCACGCTCATCGGCACCGTGCTGGTCTGCTCCTACGGGTAAGAGGGTAGGATGGCGGTACACAGTGGGCCAGAAGACCGGTGGAGGCGGCCAAAACTCTAGACGCGTTTTGAGCTCCAGAGTCGCTAAACAGGACTCGAACCGAACGTGTGACCCCACCAATGGATTCCTCGTGCGGAGAGCAATCCATTGGTGGGGTCACACGTTCGGTTCGAGTTCTGTTTAGCGACTCTGTAGCTCAAAACGCATCCAGAGTTTAGGCCGCCTCCACCGGTCTTCTGGCCCACTGTGCGGTATTGGCACAGCACGCCTGAAAATTGCAGCTAATTTTTATAACAGTGAAGGTGTGAGAGAGAACGACTCACGGAGCCCACTCTATGTACAGGAGGGGTGAAGCGGAGTTCAAGTCCGACAACGTGTCCACCATCTGCATCCTCAAAGAGTGCCTGTCCAAGTTGGCGACGGGCAGGTCCACGCACCTGGACATTTCTTGCGGTGAGGTGTGAGGGACTTCCCCCGCGCTGTCTCTCTCGCCATGAGACTTTGGGGCGTTCCGCACGGGTGCGAGAGCGCGAGTGTTGACGCCCTGCCTGCTTCCTGCTTGTCCTTCCAGCGGTGAACCCGGACAGCGGCGCGCACGCACTGCGCCTCATGTTCCCGCTGCTGCGCGAGCAGGCCGCGCTGCACCGCGACCTGGCGCTGCTGGACGCGCTGCGCGACCTCGACAAGGACGCCCTCGCCGCCAAGTTCCTCGCCATCCTGGACAACGAGGCGGACATCCGGGACCGCCACAAGCGCTACCCCGCGTACCTGGACAGGCTTTGCGGTGCGTTGGGCAGACTTTAGTAGTAGTTTGTCCACCTCTGGTGCCATTAGTATGAGTTTCGGGCGGATGATACACTTGGGAGTTGGTGGCTGAGGGTGCTGAGGCAGTGGTCCTGGGTTCGACTGACCCTATGTTCCTGCTGTTCCCCCTCCAGGCATGCTGACGGACCTCTACATCGACCACTTCAAGTTCCGGGGGCTGAACGTGAAGGCGCGCGTGCCGCAGCTCCTGGACTCGGTGTACAAGGCGCCGCTGGACACACTGCTGGACACGCTGCTGCAGCACTTCCGAGAGCCGCCGCCCGACTTGCGAGCCTGACTCGCACCAAAGTGTGGAGGGAAAATGAAAAACCAGTCCGTCATTTTTCGGCTGCAGATGCATTTATTTGAAATAAAACATAGCACATGAAATTGCTGTAAATGAAATCCAATATCATATTCATGGAGTCATGCATCAAAAATAAAATCAAATCCAAGGACGCAATGAAAATTGGCAGACGAACGTTCCTAGGACGCAATGAATAAATTTTTTTTATCCAAAACACAAGGCAATCAAAAGCGTTGTACGAATGGTCTGAGTCAACTTTCATTATAAGCAAGGATGCCAAAACGACAAATTTAAATAAGCAGAGGAAAATACAAGAAATTTGAAAAATTGGAAAAACGAACAAAAACCTTCCACTTGCAGTGCTTCAAAAATGATGAATGATAGCATTGCCTTAGCTATTTTAGCAAAAGATAAACAATGGCTATACAGCCATTCTATAACAAACAAAGGCAACCGTGATTAAACTTGCAAATCTCTATTTTCTAAGTTTGAGGATGCAATGTTCATTACACACTTGTAACACAAAAACTTAAATTCAGGGGGAAAAAATCAATCTACCAGTCTAAATACAAACAATACAAAAGAAGTAAAACAAGAAAAATAATACATTATATGGGAGAAACAGAAATAATAAGGCTTGTTCAACCACCAAATTTATAGTAGCAGCAGTAGTCAGAGATTGGCTCACACACACTGAGCAGTGAGAGGAGAAGGCATATCAGAAATTCTTGTTGAAGCATACTGGTGAAGGTGTTCAGAACTAGACGAAACATTGCTACAAACAAGGGAGTGGAGATAGATTAACACTACAAATCGTACTATGTAGGATGGCAGTCTTTCTTCAGTTGACCCAAATAAGACAGGAAAATAACAAGATTGACAATTATTGACAGCAAGGAGAAGCGGAGGTCTAAACAAAGGATTTAAGCTAGTAATAGTTTATGCCCGTTTATTTTTAACACAAAATCCACAAGAGTGAACATTAAATCAGAAGGAACATAAGTGTGACAAATTATGGTAAGAAATAAGAGGTCAAGACCTCAAAAACTGAGTGCAAAAAAAAAAAAAGAAAAAAAAGAGAGAGAGGATCAGTTCACACGCAAACACACAAAAGAAACAAAAGAAGAAATGAAACGAAAGGAGGGGAGGGATGGGGAAAATGAAGGGAATGAGGGCATTGAAACACAGTCAGTTCAAAAGTTATATAGTAACTCATCAATAATTAAATAGTTTCCTTTCTATGTACATGAGATATTATATTTCACTTACACAATTTGATAGGTATATTTGAATATATGTACATCATATATAATGTTTCTTTCACTTAATACAAAATGAGTTCTTTCAAAAGCATTTGAAATTTTCTCAGAAGTAGTGTTCCTTGAGGAAACCAAACTATGGTGGCATGACCAGAATATCTACACTTCTAAGTTGTAATTCAGCAATTCATCCCACAGTGAATATGTTTAAGAAAATAGGGAAAATTGATTATTTGTTTGAATACAGAATGAACTTTACAGAATTGAGCAAGATGGGAAAGTGGGATTGGAACAACAAAGCTTCTGGACTTGCATGACATGAATACAACAAACTAATACCAGTACCACCTTTTCACCATTATCTGATTAATAATGAATTGGTTAATGTAGGAAAATCCACAAATATTATGGCATCATTGTAAAGGTTTCACACTGCTGTACAGCAGATTCTTAGCTTAAATAAGATGAGATTGATCTGAGAACTTAAGATACCGAAATGTTATAACTTCTGCCAAAATTTGTAAATAAAACACATGCTGAAGTATGGAGTCTTGAAAAATGATCAACTGCAATAAAAATGTGAAAGCAACTTTCTATGAGAATTATGAATAATATCCAAACCGGTCCACACTTTCACTTAATTAAATTGTGCATCAGCTTTAATGCACTTTAAAACAAACAATGCTGTAGCGTAACTGCCACCACTATACAATCCTTACAAATTATTCAGACTCAATTACCACACAGTCAAAGCTTCAGACAAATCCTGGTGTATTAGCAGGTGTTGCCGTCTCGCTCATTCAACACTACAGGCATCCTCAACGCTTGTCAATAAAGTATTACATCCTCCATAAGTAACCCAATTTGTGATAAGCTCGACAAAAAATAAATTCATGGGCCATTCTAAATACAACGAGGCCATACAAACATCAAGTACAACTATTTCCAGTAGTTCATGAGAAACCTTTGAATTTTACTAGTCCTGGTCTACTATATTCGTTAATGGAACTGAAAGCAGCCTAACCACCTGATACTACTAGCCATCCAAAGAAATTTATTGAAACAAAAGAAAACTACAGGACAATAGACGAATTTGAATGACTGGACAGTCAAAAGCTTAAGCTTATGATGTGACCAAATAAAAATCTTTACATAGCAATAAAAAGTAAACAAAGAAAAATGTGGAGAAAAGAGATGAGACCATGTATTGGAATGGACTAGACTACCAATTAGGCAGTGTACGACCTTCCAGAAACTTTGCTATACGTATGTTGACTTCAGGTGGATACACACAGCTGGCATTTGAAACATTTTGCAAGAATCAACAAAATTTTCTTGCTCCAACCACAATATTGTAGGACAAGACAGAATAATTTAACCACTAGTAAGTCAAGTCGAGATACAAAAACTTGTGTTTTCCACTAAGTTTTCAACATTTTTAAAAAATTCAGATAATGAAACAAAAAGTTAGCCATAAATGACCCTATTGTATTGTTAAAAATAAAAGTCTTTACAAAATTCGACTATCTACACTACAATATTCGCTAGAAGGGCTGTGAAAAATTTCAATTAAATTCCACCTCATCCAATAGGGAAAAAGTGTGAAAAGCCCTCCAAATTAAAAACTTCCATTACTTAAAAATCAACAGACCAAAACTTATGATTTTATGCATTAACTGCTAACTTAACGGGTTAATAAGTAAATTTTCTTACAACTCTAAAATCACAGATATGAACAGTTTAAAAGGAGAAAAGGCTTAATGCTATAATTAAGACTATCCTACATTATATTAAATTGTCAGAAACACAATCAACAACTAATCAATCTGTCATGAGTCACAAAACAAGTAACAACGTAGTTAACAATGGCACCAGTCAATGAGTGCCGATAATGAGAGAACTCAAGCCTAGAAGCATTGTCCAAAAGAGATCAGTCCTTGTCTTCAAAATTCCAATTATATCTCCTAAAACACCATGTAACAGGAAAATCAAAGATATCTTTATATTGTTGTGGTTGCAATCTGGACTGAATCTAGAGATACAAGTACTAATTATCAAATTGACACGGCAAAGCACAACCTAGAGGAACATTCTGAAAAGCAGAACATTCATTATCTAAAATACAATCAAATATCATTGCCAAAGTGCATATACAAGCAACAAAGACAGATCAAAAGTCAACTACAACCTCAATCAGTTCGAATAACATTTATAGTCAGGGAAATACACTGACATTTCAGAACATCAATAAATAACATACTCCCAAGTATTTTGAGATCCTAAACAGAACTATATTTAGAGATAACCTTATAGCTATGAAAATCTAAAAAAATGAAAACTGATTGCATGAGAAGACATTATCTAAACTGTTCTGTTGTGCTCCACTGAATCCACACATAAATGTATTATACTATGTGAAGGGACAGTTCATACACAACCATATTGCACACCAGCCACTAGCAACAACATCAACAAAGTTGACAATAATTCCACTATGAAGAAAACAGTCATTAACAATGCATCAAGACATTCTGTTGACAAGCAAATAGTGCACAGAATCTTGATGTAATAAAGAACTATAAGCAGGCATGCAAATGTAAGTAAACTTACAAAGCGGTCAAAGACAGTAACAAAAGACGACAGATAGTGAAAAATACATTTAAAGGTTGGAAGACAATTTAAATAATAATTTTAGAACAATACTAAGCAAAACTCCTTTGCACAAAAATAATAAGACTAAAATGACAAGGATATTTTGAGATCAAAAGCAAACCGTGCCCCTTTGAAATAAGGTCACCAGACCTTGAGCTACAGAAATGTATGAAGTACACCTCCTGCCAACATGCGGGAAAGAATTGAAGATATGTACTTAACATGACATGTGGACAACAATCAACTTAAACCGTGTCCATTGCTTACTCCCTCACACAAAATAGAAAGGAGTGAGGCAAGCAGATGAATTTATACAAGGGAACAGAAAGGGTAATGCATTTTATAAAAACCTAGTCAAAACTTTGTTGCAGTTTGTGATGCTTTAACACTGAACTTAACAACAGGTCAGTTCAGACTAACAAAGAAGACACACGAGACTCCTTTAACAATGAATAATTCACAGCTCAGCTGTTTGGTGTTCTGGGTCTGGGAGTAAAAAAAAGTCGACGGACAGGGTTGGTTCTGTGGACGACCTAGGCAAGGGAGCAGAGGTCGAGTCGGACCACTGTCATTTTGCCTGAAGAGCTGCATTGATCTGTGCCCACAAATCTTTCTTGCACGATTTAGATCTGCAAAGAAACAATTTTTTAAAAATAACTTCTACACTTTCCCTGAATAAAAGCACACCTTACCGCAATGTGTAAAATGTACCTCTTAATAGACTGAAGCCATTCTTTGAACTGTTGAGCACCCTCTGGAGTTATTTGGAATGCTGCTCGGGCAGAGCAAACAATGCTCACAAAATCTTCATAATCACCAGTTGTTAAATGATACAATTTTTGATGAAGGCATTGAATATACCTGGAACACAAACACATATTACCATCTTGTTGCGAGCCTCAAGATTCTAGTATTAATCATTCCTGAACTAAAACTATGCTTACATTTGCTGACACTTTGAAACCAGAGGAGTAAGAGCTGAACGTAAATGCTGCATAGCCATACTGGGATTCACCCGTGCAAGGAACTGAGCCGCTTCCAATGCAACATCATGGAGCACAAAAGGTGACACTATGCTGCTTACAGCGCACACACAAAACTGATGCAAGTACTGATTGCCTGTAAATTAATATTTAAAAATTCCATAATTATTTGCTTTGTTTATTTGTTGTCTTTGAGGCAACGAACAGTTTTGCCTACGTACCAAGCTTCTTCGATACTCTGAGGAGCCACTTGACATCCTCGCCGTAAGGGGGGTTGCGAGCGTATTTCGCCTGGGGGCGGTCATCATGCACTCTCCGAGCAAGGGTCTCCAGAGCAAGCATTCCCACTCGGTAAGCAGCCAGCAAATAACGCAGCTGTGTGTTAGTGTACCCTTGCTGATGCCTGTGCACCTGTGGATTCAAACAAAAATAAAATTAGTACCCATGGTATCCAGCCAAGAAATGTGCCGGACAAATGATGATGAGCGGGCATTGCCTGCGCAAGCGTCAACTACTTTCATCATTCTAACATGTAGCTGGCTCACAAAGACATCTCACGCACACTATTGCACTTCAGTGTCTGCTTCATGTAGTGATCCAGATACACATAATAAGGAACACGTTATGTTTGAACTGATTTAAAATGCCTACTTAATTGGTGAACATAAAATCAACTAACACAGATGTGCAAAGTGCACAATGACATTGAGAGCAAGGATATGCAAAGTGAATATAAAAATCAGTCCTTTGGGAACACTTTGGAACCACTAGAACTTAATCACTAGAAAACAGTCAATTTAGACCAAGGTACAACTCGATGAAATTTTGAATATCCCTGCTTATGAATAAAGAACAATGAACAAACTAGAACAACTAAATGCAAATTTCAAGTTCATGCAAAACTTCAGGTAAACATCCAAGATGAAACGCAGCCTAAAAATTAGAGACAATGGATTTGGTAACATTTCTTACATTTGAGAAAATATTTCAAAATTGTCTACTAGAACATAACTTAACAGAACCATTGATATTGTTTTAAAAATTCAGAAGGGACAAATAATAATAATAATAAAAAAACAAGAAAGAAAGAAAAGACATCAAGACCTAAATTAAACATCAAGGGTTGCTAGAAACATCTATGACACAGAGAAGCCAACATGTACAGGTAAGGGATTTCTCATCAAGGTGGGGAAAGAGAGGTCAGAGGATCAGAGGGACGCACCATGCATGGTCAGGAAGGGCGAGGATCAGGCTTACACAAAGCCTAGCGACAACCAATCAAATGGTGCGACTCCTAAACACATAATGCAGCTTGGTTTACGTGCAAAGGTCTCGAGAAAAAGACAACTAAGCCACACAACCAAGCATACGAATAAGAAAATCCAACAAGCAGGCAAGCGATGAGACCAGCTTGACACAGCTTGATGAGGATGCAGCGGGCACACACCTGACACTGTGGCGCGACCAACGCCAGAGGGTTAACCGGAGGGACGTTGGGCATCATGGCCTGAGCGGGCGAGTTGACCGGGGCCACTGGCACGGCCACCACGAACGGGCCTTTCGTCTGGACCACCTGGATCATCGGCTCGCCGCGCAGGGCCAGCCGGCGGATCTCGGGGATCTCAGACTTGGCCAGTTCGCTGGGCTCGACCACCGAGATCTGGGGCGGGTTGGGCGGGATGCACGCCAGCGCGGGAAGGTCGTGCCCCTCCAGAGCAATGTCCGGCACCAGGAAGAACTGGCGCTCGCGCGGATGGACCACGTCGAACAGACGAGCCAGCTCCGAGTTCTCGTCACTCAAGACCTGGCACTGTCCCTGGCTCTGTCCCTGGCCCTGTCCCTGGCCTTGTCCCTGGCCCAGCCCAGACCCGGTCGAAAGCTCACAGTACTCCGGCCCCTCCTGGGATATGCTCATGTTCTCCGCGCCGCCTTGGCCGCCTTGGCCGAGCTGGGCGCATGCCCCCCCATCTTGACACGACGGGGCAGACTGTGCGGACCACACAATCACCACAAGAGTTAGTGGCAAGCAGTGACACTCATTAGTTACCCAGAAAGAGAATGACAGAAAGAGAGAGAGAGCGAGCAAGGTTCGCGTCCACCCCTCAGCCCCAGTGGCATGCAGATAGCCCAGCCCGTTGGAGACCCGTTCTCAGATGGAGATCGAAGGGTACCAGCAAGTCCAGGAAACCCTGACTTTACAATCGTGAAGGGTTTGAAGAACGAATGTAACACAAACAGGGAGCGAAATATAAATACAAATTACAATAGAACAGATGTTTGGGGAGACTTCCGCCACAAAATGGGTTGTTTCATTCACAACAGTACCAAACACACTTCCACACCTGTAATGACCTTACACTGATGCCAATTATGGAGCGGCAGATCATGCCATGGATTAACTTGTCCTATGCGTACATGGTATCAAAAAAGTACAGGAATTCTTTTGGGAGCAGTTGGCAACATCACATAGGAAAGCCAACAGACATGCTTGACATAAGCATATTTTGGTAGGGTAACCAAACATGCAGACAAATAACATCCGCAACCAAAAGGAGCCCTTAACACCATGGGAAATTGCTGCCAAACCAAAGACAAGGCACTGATCATAGTTGGATGTGGTATGACAACACACATTGTGCATTTCATGAATCAGAAACGAGGGGGTTGAGGGGGTCCAGATAAGAAATTTTCGTGCATCAGGGAAAGACATTCACTGAATCAACTTTTCAACAAATCGGACGCAAACACTCATCTTTCACACAGATTGACGGTGGAGGTGGAGACAAAAACAAGAGAGACGTTACATTACCTGCTGCTGCTGTACTTGCTGGACCGGCATTTGCATGTCCTGGTGCATTCCTTGCTGCATGCCCTGCTGCATGCCTTGGGGCATTCCTTGAGGCATCCCAGGCTGCATGCCCTGTGGCATCCCTTGTTGCATGGACAACGTCTGGAACGCAGCCATGGGCATTTGCTGCACATTACGCATGGGGAGCTGGATCTGACGTAAGCTTGGCGGAAGGTTCATTTGCTGACCCATCTACAAGAGGAAAACAAACGACTCGTCAAAAGATTTTAACATGAAGCAGCGGCTAATTTAGTTGGCACAGATGAAGCCAGCCAATACCTGAGGCTGCGACTGGGGCATCGGCTGCTGGCCCTGCATCTGGCCTTGGAGGCCCTGGCCCTGGAGACCCTGGCCCTGGAGGCCCTGGCCCTGGAGGCCCTGGCCCTGGAGGCCCTGGCCCTGGAGGCCCTGGCCCTGCATCTGCCCCTGGAGGCCCTGCCCCTGCAGGCCCTGGCCCTGCTGCGGGTTGCCGGGGGCGCGCAGCTCGAACACGGTGTGCGTGAGGACGGGCGTGGGCCCCGCGCTCTGCGCCATGCCCTGCGCCATGCCCTGGGCCATGCCCTGGGCCATGCCCTGCCTCATGCTCATGTTGGGGTAGAACGGCATGGCCTGCTGCGAGTGCGGCATGGCGTTGTACGTCGAGGGGTGCGCGCCGGAGCTGGGCGGGTACTGGTACTGGTTGGGGCAGTTGGGGAGGTACATTGGGTAGGACGGCGGCGGCGGCATGCGCTGCGGCACACTGAAGGCGTTCACGTTCTGCATGGACTGCATCGGCTGCATGGGCTGCATGGGGTGGTGGCTGGCCGCCATGCTGCCAGCCATGCTGCCCGGCATGGCGAAGCCGTAGGGCGACATGCCGAAGGGCACCGACATCATGTTGACGGGCATGCTCTGCGGGGGCATCATGGCGTTGGCGATGCTAGCCATGCTGTTGGCCATGTTGTTGGCCAGGCTGTTGGCAACGCCGACGCCACCCATGCCGCCGGCCGCGGGGCCCGGGTCCAGCACCATCATGTTGTTGGCCTCCATCGTGAAGACGGGCTCCGGAATGTCGAACTCGATGGGCAGTTCGCTGCCAGAGCAGTGCTGTGGTGGAGTAGAGACAGATTACAATCTTTTCAATCTTAGAAACTGTTGATTAGAAAGTTAGAATCATTTGTTCACACTGTGGAATCGATCAGTGCACTTGGTCTATTCAGAACTGCGAACTCACCTTCATGAATAGCTCATACCAGTATCGGGCTACTTGGAAGAGTACCTCTGGATAAACTCCACCACCTTTAGCAGCAGTCTCAACAGTGAGGCAGGACTGTTCTAACATTTGGTCACTCTGTTCCTTACACTGCAAGAAAAAAAAAATTATTTAGTTTCGTACTTTATTGATATTTTTGCACTAACACAAATTTGCATTTTTTAATTGAAAAATTCTAATTGAAGGAGAAAATAAGCAAGCTTACCTGAAGTATGGCTCGCTGAATTTCATTTGGATTCAGAGCATGAGAGTGTGGCAGGCATGACAGTGCCAATTCGGCTGCAGCTGAAACAATGTTAGGGTCGCAACCTCTGGACGCCCTGTCCGCAATGCTCACAGCTTCTGGCGGTGTAAGATGGCCTTCCCAAGTGTCAATCAAGAACGAAATGGCTGGAGCGCCGATTTCCATGGCTTGCCCTGAAAACCAACATATTATTATTATTAGAAATGTCTGATAATAAACTAAATTTAACAAAATCAAAAGATGACGATAGCCATTTCCTACCAGTGATCCATGATACATGAGAAGAATAAGTTCTGCTAAGCCAATTTGGAGAGACACAATTATGAAGTCCCAAGGCATACAGCCCAATTTGGAATGCACACATGTGCAGGGCACGGTGAGGACCATGATGATTGCCTGTACTTGTGCTGGCTTGAGTGAACAGCGAGGTACTGCTATTTCCACCAGCTTTCACAAGGACAGTTTTAGCCAGTTCGAACATGAAGTGAGCACCTGATTCCGATGGTTGGTTTGGCAAGGAGGGGTAGGTTCTCTTATTCTTATATCTGAAAAGAAAAACACCAAGATTATTATTATACTGGGAAGTGGAAAGGCTGCAAAGCAACATAAGTCTTCACATACCTGGTTGACTCCTTAGGTCTGGAAGTCGAAGCAGTGGCAGTGGAAGTGGTTGCAGTGGGTACAGAGGAAGCTGGTGCAGCTGATCCCGTTGGTGCAGTTGGTGTTTGATGACTATTCAGGCTCAATACAGACAGTCCTTGGTCCAATTCGGCACTAGTAGAACTATGAGGACGGCTGCCGGCTGTTGGCACAGAGAACAAAAGTAATAAAACCTCTGGACAAAAAAATATTGCATCAAGAAGTCAGTCAACTAACCCAAAGAGCCATCAGGAACAAGGCCTGCTTCTGCTGCTCCTGATGTTGGGGCACTAGGGGTGGACGGTGCTGGCCCTGGGGAAGCAGAGTTGGATCCACTTCCCGTTGCTGCATTTGTTGAAGTCGACACTTGGGCATTCTGCGCTGCCTCTCTCTGTCTAGCTTCGTCCCTACGTGAGCGGTTCTGGAAGAGAAGCACAATTTTATTTCAACATTTCCCTTCAGCAAAGAGGCTTTGTGAGAGCAATGGATTACATGAGGAAATATACATACCAAGCTCCTTGTTGGAGGATTACTGGTGTAGTAGCAAGGCAAGAGAGGTGTCTTTATTAACTGGTGCACATCTCTATCAAGAAGTTTGTCCATGATTCGAGCAACCTTTTCTGGGTCATCCTTGTAATGAGAGAGTAAGGCAATAGCAAGGTCACCACTGAAACAAGAAAGATAATTAAATTTTGAATCAGTTACTGAATACTATAATTTAAGTGGACATTGGAGAGAAGCTTGACGGTACCGTTGCCTCCTAGTGCCTTCACAGAGGAGAGGATGGTCAGCTTCAGAAACATTGGCTTTAAGGCCCATAGCAGCAACTGCAGCCTCAAAGCCCAAGCGCTCGTCGGAGGTCCACCTGAGGGTTGAGTTAGGCATGAGTTGGCCTTTGAAATCCCGTACTGTAAATCCTTTATACAAAAAAAATAAAAAAAATTAAGTGTTAGATGAAAAATAAAACTGAAATTAATTAGAGGAAAATATGTTTGATTAGGTAATTACCATTGCTGCCATTGGGCGACACAAGAACTTCAAATATAAATGATGCCAACATGGTAGGAAGTAATGCTTCTCCTCTACTCTTTAAGGTTCCATCTTTGAGCATTTGAGCATGATCTCTAATGATAGAGACCTCCGCAGTCCCTAAAGGAATCTTCTTTAAAAGCCCAACAAGCTCAATTTCCTGGTTGGCTAATTTAACCTGGAGAGAAATAATAATTAGAAAATAGAACCATAAGAAAATAGAAAAAAGGGAGGAGGGAAGTATCTAAAATGTTGATGTCTGTACAGGGCTTGCCCTTGGAACTGCCTACACCAATAATCAATAAATAAATTTAAAATAATAGTTGACTGCATCAATAAATTGAAATTTTCTTACCTCCAATGGTTTGGTGCTCGCTGGAGGTCTGGCCATTAGGAGTCCAAAAAGGCCCACTCTGAATGCCAAGTGGAAGTGGTCTCTATTTTCAGCCAGGACTTGACACAAGAAAGCACATTTTGAGAGTGTAGCGGTTGCCAAGCAGCTCAATTGATGAGATGCTGGATTCACCTGCTGTAAAAGGATTTGGATAAAAATATCACTTTTAAAAAAGGCACACTAACAGGGTGCAACAAATGACCAAGCTATGTAACTTCCTTACCTTCTTCCTTTTGCCCCGACTGATCAAAGGTGGCACATCAATCATCAATTCAGGAGGATTGTCCAGCAGTTCCTCGGCAAGCTGCACTGCAAGATGGCATGCATCCTTGCTGTGCCCATGTGCATGCAAACCCTCCGCCCTGAAAAAAGAAAACCAAAGTTTAATACAACAGAAACAAAGAACACTAATTACACCATAATACGGAAATGAATAATACCTTGCAAACAAATTCTCCCATGGATCTGTTTCTTTCTTAACATTTTCAAGTAATTTATCTATTGAGGAACTTGGTTTCTCTTCCTTCTTTTCACTATCAGTTTCTTGAGTTGCAGTCTTTTCAGCATCGGTACCACCAGAGGCTTTTGGGTCATAGTAATACACTGTGTAATCATCACCAGATAAGTGGTAAGAATCTGACGTTGAGGAAGACACCGAGTCATCCTTGGAGGGTCTCCTCTCCGACTCTGCCTCTGCACTGCTTGAAGGTGCAGGCCCACAGGCACCTTCTTCTCCTGCTCCAGAATCATTGCTTATAGTGGAGGTTTCAGCTGCATCTGGGGCAGTAGCAGCCTGTTCATTTTCTTTGATGGACTTGCTATGTGAAGCCTCAGATGGGCTTTTACTCGAAGGTTTCTTTTCCTTCGAATCTGTGCATCTTGATGAGCAAGCTACGTCAAACAGACCCACATCCTCTTCGTCTTCGACATCAAGACTGGAACTTTGTTTCGCCTCCTTTGGGAAGCAACTGCCTGCTCTCGAAGCTTCAAGGAACGCATGCTCCACCTCGTCAAACCCGAAGCAATTGATATTGTCTATTTCAATGTCCTTGACATCTTTGCTCCAACCAGAGGCTTCTCCAGCACTACTGGGAGGGAACTCCTTGGGACGAGCACCCGTTCTTAAATGATTTCTGTCACCACTGTTGCTTGAACTACTGCTATTATTTCCACTGCTTGAAGAAGAATTACTCCCTCTACCAGTGGCTAACACCATAGGCAAGTTGATGGGTATAGGAAGAAGTTCCCCTTCATTATCGTTTTCACAAAAGCCTTCGCTGCTGACACTGCTCCTGTTGCCATCAGCACGTGCCAGAGAGCCTCCAAAGGGAATATTAAACGGGCACCTGAACGCAAAAAGAAACAGGAAGTTTTGGTAGCTGTGCACAAAGCTTCAAACTAAGACAAGCTCACTGTTACCTTGACCACACATATACTTACTTGCCAATAAATGAAGGAAATTCAGTTGCGTAAGGAGTTGTCCTTGCTACTCGTTGTGTTTTGGAACTGGAGCCGCTATTGTGTTGAAGATGAGGATTATGATGGTGGAAATGATGTGGATGATGTGTGTTTGGTAGCTGGCAGTTTAACACAGCTTGAGAAGAGTTGACCTGCAGACAAAGTAAAACTTAAATAATGAAGTAGTCTGTAGAGATGACAAGATCAAAGATAACAGTGAAAAGGTACCAACCTGGTTCACAACATTGTCAGATCTGCTAGCTTCTCCAGCGTGTCGGAAGCAAGTGAATGGACAATGATACAGTTCGCTAACTCCATGTTGGTAGGTTATCCCAGGAATAGGATAGTCATCCCAGTCTAAGAAACTTGCTTCTAACGCTGGTCGGAAACCAGGGAAAACTTCGAGGTCGGAACGGAAGGCATTAGTTTTAGAATTGGATATTGTTGAAGGTGGAGTTGCATTGTTCTGGTTATTGTTGAACTGGACTCCAGTGGTAGCCGAGGTCATTCCTCTAGCTTTGGTTACTTTCTGTACAATATTTACATGCCAGTCATGAAACTGCACTCGCAGCAATTCTCTCTCATCCGGGCCCAAGCCGGGATTTAAGGCAGCTAATCTCCACAGAACGACAATTTCATCACACAGAGAAGAGCATGCATGCTGGCTGGCTTGGCTGTTGCTATTTACACTGCCGTGCTTGCCTCCTCCATGACCAGAGGCACCACTGTGCATGGCCACTTTGGTGTTGAACCACCACAGCAGGATCTGTTCACAAGCTAAAACTTCTTCAGTGATGATTTCCAACAGAGGAATAGCATTACGATCATTCCTCTTAAACATTTCCCGCACAATCGACAGTAAATTCCACATTCCTTCAGGCTCTCGCCCTCTGAGTGGTCTTAACAGAGAACTCCATTCTGCAGCAGCTGGGGGTGCAGTGGTGCTTAAATAGTTGACATCACTAAAGAGAAACAGAAAACAAAGATTAAAATAAATTTAGTTTAATGCTATAAAACTGATAGAAAATTCATCAGTATCTAAAATAATCCAACCTGAATACGATAGGAGCTGGGACACAGAATTTGACAAGGATTTTCTTAATATTATCATGGAGAGTCTTTTCATCAAGATACCAAGATGTTAAGTCATTCACTGATGCTCCTGCAGTCGGATCAGGAGCTCCACAAACCTGAAGACAGTACAAAATAAAATTTTTAACTCATGAAGTAGTGTAACGAAAAAAAATAAATGATTTCATTTGAAACATACTGAATTGATAGCAGTTTGTTGAGTGGAGAGGAGCTGATCAAGAAGCCGTTGAGCAGTTGGTAGAATTTGTTGCGGCAACTCACTAATGAGATATTGGGCAAACTTTTGAAGTTGATCTCTATGGAGACGGGAAAGCGATTCACTAACTGGGGCTCGTAGACAAACGTGCATTGGCTGTTTGGGGCAGCAAAACGTGTGTTAAAAACATTTGAAAATTTAAAGAACAGAAATGATCCTCAAGTCATAAATCAAGTCCTTACCAAGTGAATACGGTACAAACAAACAGCTACAACATGGGAACACCAATAGGCAGTTGATGTGCACGTACAATTACATGACGTTATTCTTCTTCTATCAAACGTTACAGCTACATTATAAGTTGCATCTAACGGGTTGACTGCGGCAGGTGGAGCTACACTTGCACTTAAATGGAAGCCTGTTGAATACAAGAACACCAGTTAGAAATTGAGAGGACAACCACATTCCTCATGTTGTCAATGCTGGACATTTCAACACAAACAAACATACCTATTTGCAAAGGGCTCTTAATAGCACGTTTCTGAAACAGTGCCTCACCCCTCAAGAATTCATCCGCACTTCCATTGGCAAGACATGAGTAGAGTCTGATATCTTCTTCATTGTCTGGAAAGCTCCAGTACGCAATTCGCAGTTGGAGCTGCTCTGGTACTGGAGGGTAAACATGCTCCACCAATTCGAACGGGATGTGAGCAGCAACCGTTCTTGCACACAGCTCAGACAATGAAGGGACTCCATCTAGAAAACAGAAACAGTAATTAAAATTACTGATCCACTGATTTGAATGGCATATCCTAATTTGCACTGCAATTGGATATGGAATGAGAAGGAATGCAAACAAATTTTTTGAATATGTAGACAAGGCCTTCCACAAAGAAAGTCTCAAGAGCGACAATCTGATCTGTCACCGGAGATCAAGCTTTAACATGAGCTTCTGGCCACCAGGAGACTGACTGTCATAAACAACCCCCTTTGCACTGAGGAAGGGGGCTCCAAGATTGTCACTAGGTCAAGCAAGAAAATCTCAGTGTCAATCAGCTCATTTTCCAAAAGCTGCTAAGAGGCATCCCCCAAGGAGCTGGGGTGTCAAGTGTCAACCACCGGGCCTCGGCAGTGTGTCCGACCGTCCCGTCCGCGCCGAGTCGCCCCGGGGGGGGCGGTAGGGGGCGGGGGAGCAAGGCGGTCTGGACAGACACAAAGGGGTGGCACTCCTTACCCTCGTAGAACTTCTTGGAGCTGTTGTAGTGGCTCACGGTCGTCTGCTGGTTGGACTGCTTCTTCCAGCCCCGCCAGTTGTTGCACAGAGACTCGGGCTCGGTGCTCCAACTGCACATCGAGTCCTCCTCAAAGCGGTCCGAGTCATAGAAGGACATTCGGTCCCCCTCTTCCCACTCCACCATGGGGGCGTCATTGGGAGCAGGGTCGCCATTAGGTGCAGGGTCGCCGTTGGCGGCCAGGTTGGCTTGGCGGCGAGGGCCGCGAGAGCCCCCTGCGCGGTGCGGTGGTGGACGGGGACGAGGACGCGGTCCTGGCCCGGGGCCTCGGCGGCCTGGCCCTGGGGCGACGGCTCCACGACCGTCGGCCCGTCTCGGCTCGTCGGGGTCAGAGAGGCCCTCACTGCACTTCTGGCTGCGGCAGCTCGGCGCTGCTCCGCTTGCCGGGATCCTCGGTCCGCGACGGAGGAGGGCTCGCTATCCACGCATGGCGGACGAACAGGACCAAACCGAACCCTGGTCCATTTAGCACACGCAACGTTAACAACACCACACGGGGCCACTGACAACTTTCCGTCACACGGTTAGACAATAACAAACATGGCCGACGACGTCCTACTTCACTTCACTGCTGGGGTGAAAGAAGAAGAAGAGGGGGAAGAAGAGGGGGAGGGTGCTTTCGTGTGCACGCCAGAGCCAGCCAGAGCGCCGCGTGGTTCCGCGCGCCGCGGAGAGAGGGCGCCACCGTCGCGAAGATCCGCGGTCGGCGGCGGTCGTCGCGTAGTCGATCCGCGGGGCGGTGACGCGGTGACGGGTGCGCGCGAAACGCGCTGCCGTTCGAACACCACCGCATGGGTGGACGGTAGACGTCATGTCCCGCGCCGCCGTCGCGTTCAGCGTGCTGCAGACTCACTGCCAAATTCGTTTTCGTTGCTCTGTCTCTCTCGCACTTTTGGGACGTCCCCTAGCGGCGTGAGCGAGACAGGCCGACTATGCACTACCCAGACACGGGCGATCCCAACCGAAAACACTGAACCAAAACTGCGACAATAGCAGACGGCGAACCCATCGTGCGGCATCACTGTCGGAACCATAGTGACCGCACAAATTCCGCATTGGCGCCGCGCCGTCCTCTTACGTCACGCGTCGTGTTTCCTGTTTTCCGCGTTCACTCTCGCGGAGGGGAGGGGGAGGTGGCGAGATGACGGGCTGATTCTGGCAACGCGCCCTCAGTCCAAGTGGAGAGGTCTCTCTCTCGCACTCGAGGGGCGTAACGTGTGGGTGCGAGAGAGAAAGCCCGACGAAAGCGCCGTTCGGAATGAGTCTGCAGCCCCGTGCGCGCTGCGCGCTGCGCGCTGCGCGTGCACCCCGCGGAGGCCCGGGGCGGGGCTTCGGCGGGCGGGATGTCGCCGCGGGAGAAAGTCGTCTGGCTCGTCGGCCCGCCCCGCCGCACCTCGGCCGGAGACCGATTCCGAGAGTCTCGCTCTGTCTCTCTCGCACCCACACGGGACGCGCCGTGAGTGCGAGAGAGACAGAGCGACGACCCTCGGAATGAGTCTGCCGCCCCTTGCATGGCCGCAGCGGCTTGCAGTGCTTGCAGTGCAGGCACGCGCCAGCACGGCGAGTTGGTCGCCGGCACCCACCCGCACCGGCCGCGTTGACAGTGGACGCACCCGGACCTCCGCGATGGCGTCCTTGTCGGTGCTGCTGCTGACGGCGCTGGCCGCGCTGCTGGTCGCGCGGTGGTGGTGGCGGCGCCGCCGCCTGGTGGCGCTCATGGAGCGCATCCCGGGCCCCTTCGCGCTGCCGCTGCTCGGCAACACGCTGGAGCAGACCGTGGAGCACGACGAGCTGTTCGTGAGGCTCAACGGCATCACCCAGCTGTTCGGCCGGCAGCACGGCGTCTGTCGCACCTGGTTCTGCACGCAGCCCTACGTGCTGCTAAGCTCGCCCGACGCCGTGGAGTGCGTGCTGGCGTCCAACCGGCACACCGACAAGAGCGACGAGTACCTGTACCTGCGGCCCTGGCTGGGCACCGGGCTGCTCACCAGCTGGGGCGCCAAGTGGCACCGCCGCCGGAAGGTGCTCACCCCCGCCTTCCACTTCCGGATCCTGGACGACTTCATCGACGTCTTCCGCGAGCAGGCCGACGTGCTGGCCGACCGCTTCGTGCAGCAGGCCGAGCAGGCCGGCCGCCGCGGCTTCAACGTGTTCCCGCTCGTCACGCTCTGCACGCTGGACATCATCTGCGAGACGGCCATGGGCCGCAAGGTGCACGCCCAGGTAAGCGAGTCCACGAAACACACAGGGGTACGGCAGGCTGCATCTCCTCCTGCCTGCTAGGCAGTTACTCAACAGCCGTGGGTGGAAGTTGCGTGGTGGTGGTACACAGGCAAAACCAAAACCAAACCAATTTTATGGCAAACACTGAAAATTGTCCTCAAACTTGTCCGGCAGGTGGACAGCGAGTCGCCGTACGTGCGCGCCGTGTACGACATGGCCGAGATCGTGCTGACCAGGCAGTCCACCGTGTGGTACCAGCCCGACTGGCTGTTCCGGCTCACGCCCATGTACCGCCGGCAGCAGGCCTGCCTGCGCGACCTCCACGGCTTCTCCAACAAGATGATCCTCGAGCGCAAGGAGGAGTTCCGGCGCAGCAGGGACCAGCGCGGCCAGGACCTCGACGACGACCTGGGCTCCAAGAAGAGGCTGGCCTTCCTCGACCTGCTCATCGAGGCCTCGCAGGTACGCGAGAGGGGGATCCAGAATCAGCCGGAGGGAGGGGCAAAGGATTGCTTGTTGCCTATTTGCAGGGGAAAGGTGTTGCTTTTTTTCCTGTTTCCAGGAGCAAAGTGCCAAAGGGCCAAACGGGGTGCAAAGGCATGTAGCCCCAATTGGTCGCCCCCTCTAAAAGCACCCTAAACAGATTTTTTGGTTTCAGATTCTAGTTGTTGTGCCGTTTCCAACTTTTCTAAATCGGTCCGCGTGAATTTTTCATCCCCCAGGACGGCGCCGTGCTCTCCGACGAAGACATCCGCGAGGAGGTGGACACGTTCATGTTCGAGGGCCACGACACCACGTCGGCGGCCATCTCCTGGTGCACCTTCCTCATTGGCTGCGACCCTCACGTGCAGCGGCAGGTAGGCCAGTTCGTGCACGTCCTCGTCATCGTACTCGTCCTCCTTGCGGCAGGCTCGGACTGGCCCCCAAAGGGCCCCGGCAGATAAGACCGCGAAAGGCCCCCGATCATCATTGTTTTTACCCTTCATGACCAACTTTGTGAGGCTACCGCTCCCAAACTAGTTGCGGTCAATAGCCTTCCCATACAGGACATGAAAGAGTAGGGTCTTAAGAATTCTAGGGCGTCAAGGGAGGCCTTTTACGGCAACTAGATTAGACACAGTGGCCGCCCAAAGTCAGCAAAATCAGCAAATTTCCGAGATTCGACCACTTTTTGACCAACTTTGGTCCCCAAATCTTTGCGGTCAAAGGCAAAATCGTTGTGGTCAACGTCTTCCCGATGCAGGGCATGAAAGAGTAGGGTCTTAAGAATACTAGGACGTCGAGGGAGGCCTTTTACGGCAACTAGATTAGACACAGTGGCCGCCCAAAGTCAGCAAAATCAGCAAATTTCCGAGATTCGACCACTTTTTGACCAACTTTGGTCCAAAAGTCGTTGCGGTCAAAGGCAAAATCGTTGTGGTCAACGTCTTCCCGACACAGGGCATGAAAGAGTAGGGTCTTAAGAATATTAGGACGTCGAGGGAGGCCTTTTACGGCAACTAGATTAGACACAGTGGCCCCCCAAAGTCAGCAAAATCAGCAAATTTCCGAGATTCGACCACTTTTTGACCAACTTTGGTCCCAAAATCGTTGCGGTCAAAGGCAAAATCGTTGTGGTCAACGTCTTCCCGATACAGGGCATGAAAGAGTAGGGTCTTAAGAATACTCAGGCGTCGAGGGAGGCCGTTGGCCGCAACTAGATCGGACGCAGTGGGCGCTCAAATTCAGCGAAAACGGCTACTTTCGGAGATTCAATCACTTTTTGACCAACTTTATGACGTTACTGATCACATACCCGAAGGCCCCGGCAGATTTTTCTGCCTGTCGGCCCTCGCCAGTCCGAGCCTGCCTTGCGGTGCACGTCCCCGTCATCGTGCACGTCGGCACTTGCATGTTGACGACGTCCCCACCATCAAGTGTGCCTCCTTTCCCGCAGGTGCACGCCGAGCTGGACGACATCTTCGCCGACGACCCCGACCGCGGCGTCACCATGAAGGACCTGAACGACATGAAGTACCTGGAGTGCTGCATCAAGGAGGCCCTGCGGCTGTACCCCAGTGTGCCCGCCTTCGCGCGCAGCCTGCGCGAGGACGTGCAGATCGGGCCGTACACCGTGCCGGCCGGCACCACGGCCATGATCGTCGTGTACATGCTGCACCGCAACGCGGAGGTACGGCAACACACAGTGGGCCGGCAGACCGGTGGAGGCGGTAAAAATTCTAGACGCGTTTTGAGCCTGAGAGTCGCTAAACAGGACTCGAACCGAACGTGTGACCCCTCCAATGAGTTGCTCTCCGAACGAGGAATCCATTGGTGGGGTCACACGCTCGGTTCTCCTCCCGGTTAGCGACTCTGGAGCTCAAAACGCGTCTAGAGTTTTGTCCGCCGGCGCCGCCGGTGTTCTGGCCCACTGTGCCAACCAGGGTTGTTAACGTTAATTTCAGATTTAACGCGTTAACGTTAATGCGTTAGTCCGGGTGCATTAACTTAACGCGTTAACGTTAACTCGAATTTGAGAATTTAACGCGTTAACGTTAAATTAACGCAAGTAACGCCGTTATCGTTAAAAAAACTTTAAAACCCAACCAGAGAGGGTTGAGATAACGCCACCAAAACGTTGAAACAAACGTTCATCACCCATAAAAGAATTAAAGAAACCATAACACAAATATTAAACTAGGTAAAACAGCTTTTGCTATCTCTAGCACATAAATTTTTTCGGAAATTTACCTGGACCGATCGTGCATTAATCCCTACGTTAACGCATTAACGGCGTAACGCGTTAAGAGAGTCCATTAACTTAACGCGTTAACGTTAATGGCCCAGACATATTTTAACGAGTTAACGTTAACGTTAATTAACGATTAACGCAGTTACCGTAACGCCGTTAATCGTTAAATTAACGTTAACAACCCTGGTGCCAACCAGCACTCTCCTCTGGCCCGCCAGGTGTTCCCGGAGCCCGAGGTGTTCAACCCGGACCGCTTCCTGCCCGACAACTGCGTGGGCCGGCACCCCTTCGCCTACGTGCCGTTCAGCGCCGGGCCGCGCAACTGCATCGGCCAGAAGTTCGCGCTGCTGGAGGAGAAGGCCGTGCTCTCGGCGCTGTTGCGCCGGCTGCGCTTCGAGTCGCTGGACCGGCGGGAGGACCTCACCCTCCACGGCGAGCTCATCATCCGGCCCAAGGACGGGCTGCGCGTCAGAGCCTTCGCCCGGCCGCACCCCTCCAAGACCGCCTCCAAGACCGCCACCGCCGTCAACAAGTAGCGCCCGTGGGCCAGAAGACCGGTGGCGGCGGCCAAGACGCGTTTTGAGCTCCAGAGTCGCTAAATGGGACTCAAAACTATCGTGTGACCCCACCAATGGATTTGCTCTCCGTACGAGGAATCCATTGGTGCGGTCACACGCTGGGTTCTCCTCCTGTTTAGCGACTCTGTAGCTTAAAACGCGTCTAGAGTTTTGGCCGCCAACGCCTGTGTTCTGGTCCACTGTGCGGACCTCACCTGGAGCACCACAACCGAAACAGTGCCGTGGAGCGCCCGGTGGGTAGGCAACCCATCTGCCGCGTCCACCGCTCCACCCTTCCACCCCACTGCGAAGACCTGCTGCTGCTGTTTGTTGTGTCGTTCCCTTAGCTTGTAAGTCTGTCTGAAAGTGTCCTTGCCCGTCTGAATAAAGTATTGTTATTTATTGATTCCGACGAGCTCTTTTCGCCGTACGACGCGCACGTTAAGTTACAGGGCACGTGGCGGCAGCGGCGGTCGACCGGACAGTGGGCCAGAAGCCAGAAGACCGGCGCCGGCGGCCCAAACTCTAGACAAGTTTTGAGCTCCAGAGCGAGGGGATAACCACTCGCGTAATACCCTGTACACAAAAACCGTGTATTACGCGTAATACACGTGGTCGTAATACCTTTTACGGGTCAAATGTGCCAAATTTTTGCATTTTAAGGCCGTAATACACGTGTAATACCTCCGTAATACAGCGTAATACCGAGTAGTCTGTACACGATTTCTTGAAGTGTTTACCCCCTCGCTCCAGAGTCACTAAACAGGACGAGAACCGAGCGTGTGACCCCACCAATGGATTCCTCGTCCGGAGAGCAATCCATTGGTGGGGTCACATGTTGGGTTCGAGTCCCATTTAAGGACTCTGGAGCTAAAAACGCGTCCGGGATTTTGACCGCCCCCTCCACCGGTCCTCTGGCCCACTGTCGGCCGCACGCACGGCGCCGGCACCACGCCCGTCCCAGCGGGAAGCCTGGGCTCAGTCTAACCAGGCGCGCGGGTACCGAGTACGGAGTACGGCCGGGGCTCAGGCTGCCAGGTTCCAGTTTATTGATCGAGTCAGCAGCGCGGGGGCCCGCGCGGGGGTAGAGTTAAACGCGGGGGAGGGGGTAGGCGCTGTACCAATCCGCCAGGGCCGCACACATTCTCATAGCGCGTCCCTTCGCCACGGAGTGCGGCCTCTCTTTGGGTTTTTCGGTCGCGTCGTCGGCGTGCCGTGCCGCCGTGCGCCGCCCGCCACTTGCGGACATACTTGGCGCACGCGTTCGTTGGCCTGTTACGCCGTGTTTTACGCGTAACGCCCGGCCGCCGCGACCAGGCCGCCATGTGTGCCGAGGAGGTGTCCACGCTCCCATCCGAGTGACGGGCGTGGCGGCGGGGCGCGGCGGGGCGCGGCGGGGCGCGGCGGGGGACGGTTTGGCGAAAGGCGGGCCCCCACACGCCGCCCGCCGCGCCCCTCGCCGCGCCCCCCTCGCCGCGCCCCCCTCGCCCGGCGTCCCCGGGGGAGGGAACGGGAGGCCTACACAGACCACACGGCACTGTAAGGGTCCCGCACCGCTCCCCCTGTGCGTGCAATTGAGGCGCTGCTGTCGCTGTCTCTCTCGCACCCTTTGCAGCCCTCCACGCGTGCGAGAGGGACAGAGCGAGGAGGGCACGAATATTCGGAATCAGACGACTGACCGCGGTGCCGCGGCAATCCCTTTCCTTTCCCTCCACTGGAAAATAGGCTTCTTTTTCCGAGTGTAGGAGAATGAATCAGGCGGGCATAAACAGACCGTCCGGGCCGGGCGGCGTCGTGCCCGCTTCCTGCCCGCCACGTCCGCGTCTCCACGTCGCCGTGCTCGTTCCTCGCCGCCCGCGCCGAAGTTAGCGAGTCCCCGCTCCGCGAGCCGCTCCACCCGAAGAGTGACCCTGGAGATCCGCTGCACTTGTTTGCCCTGTTCTTGTCCTTGTTTCGCCCCTGCCGCCGGTCGGGCCCGCGGCTTCCGCTGCACTTGTGGCTCGGCCCTCGGCGTTCGGACCGGCTCGGCCCCGCAGTGGCGTGGCGGGGGTAACAACTGTTCCAGCCCAGTCCAGCCCGGCGGACAGGGTTGTCATTTTGCGATCGAAAGCCGGGGGCGGCGCGATCGGAAGGAAAAGTTGCCTTCCTGCAGTGCACAGTTGCCTACTTGAGCGAATGCGCTCCGAGTCCCATTGAGACAGTTCTTTAGCGCCGGACCGACAGGGCGCCTGCAGCAGCCTGCAGCAGCCCAGGGCGGGCTGGGAGGATCCCGCGGGACGCCAAGTGGAGGGGTGGGGGAAGGGGGCAGGCTCGCACGGCGCAAACACAAAGCACACCTATCCTTATCAGGCGACAGGCAGGCATGGCGTGGTGGGGAGGGCGCCGCTATCTGCCGGGTCCTCGCGGCGAAGCGCGCCGCCGACCCTCCCGCCGCCCGCACCCCGCCCCGCGCCGCCACGCGCCGCGACGATACTTCGCCGGCCGGCTAGGTCGCTGTAGGGCGCTCGGCTCCGCTCCACCACACGGCCACGGCACGCGGTGGGTCAGTCAGTCACTCCGCGCCGCTCCACCGCCCCGCCATGAAGTCCGTCGTCGTCCTGGTGGTGCTCGCGGCCTGCGCCCACACCTGCCTGGCGGTGCCCGCCCCCGCGACCGAAGCCGCCCCCGCGCTCGTCACCGCGCCCGCCGCCAACCCCAGTGCCGCCCCCGCGGCCGTCAAGCCCGAGGAGCCCGCCGCCCCCGCCGCCCCCGCGGTCCCCGTGGTCCCCGTCGAACCGGCGGCGGCCAAGCCGGCGAGCACGGCGTCGTCGAGGCCGCCGCAGGACTCGACGCCCGCGGCCCCGGCGGTGCCCGTGGCGCCGGCGGCAGCGCCGGCCGTCGCGGACGTCGCCAACAAGATGGGGCAGTTGGTGGCGGCGCCCGCGCTCAACAGCACCAAGGGCGCTATCAGCGTGCAAGGTGAGCAGCCCGTCAAAGCCGCGAAGCAGGGCACTGGGCCAGGCCGGGGCAGGCACACTGTCTCCGGACGCCGCGCCGCCACGCGCATTCCACTTCCCGTGCGTCGTCCGGAAGGGGCGCCGCCGCCTCGGCCGCCACGGCCGGCAGACAGTGGGGCAGACTGATTCCGAGGGCCGTTTTCGTCGCTCTGTCTCTCTCGCGCTCACGGGGCGTCCCGCATAGGTGCGAGAGAGACAGAGCGACTGCCTGGCCTGCGCGGCCCTGTCGCTGTGTCACAGTGTGTCACCCACGCGCGGGCCGGGCAGGTGTCCGTCCACTCGCGGATTGCACGGCACACTCTAAAATGGCGCAAGCGACGCGGTTCCAGTCCAGTGTTGCGAGCAAGGCAGTGGCGGACCCAGGGGCGGCCCGAGGGTGTGTGACTGTGCGAAGTAGCGCACATTGACTACTGGAGAAAATTGTTGCTTTTTGACTGCCGGTGGCCATCTGGGAACCAGGGGCCAATAATTGTCCGATTACCCGCCCTCCGGGTCCGCGCTTGGAGCGAGAGAGAGAGAGAGAGGGCGCGCTCGTGGGCACTGTATCCTAGACACGAATTATTGAGGGCGCTTCGATTTCATAGACTCATTCCACAATGGAGTGGCCATTACGTCCAGGGCCGCCGCCGTTTCAGGGCCAGTCATACTAATCACGCGATTCGAGGGGCAAAACTGCAGCAGGCGCTCCGACTTTGTCGCTCATTCGGGCGCCGCACAGTGGGCCAGAAGACCGCTGGAGGCGGACAAAACTCTAGACGCATTTTGAGCTCCAGAGTCGCTAAATAGGACTCGAACCAAGCGTGTGACCACCAATGCTAGCTTTACATTCTAGCTATAAAATTCTAGCTAGCGGCATTTGAATCACTCATGCATCAAACAGAAAAAGCAACAAAAATTTGCAGTTTAGAAAAAAAAACAACATGAAATTTATGGAAAGAATGACGCAAGAAATCAAAATTGCAGAACGACAATGAGGGAGCGAGGGTCGCCTTGGCGCAGCTACGCCACTGGCCCAATGTGTCCTCCGATAAGATAAGCCCCCCCCCCCCCCCACACACACACACACCGGTGCGTTCCTGGCCTCGCGGCGCCTAGAGAGGGAAAGCCAGTCGGAGACGCGCGCGGGTGCGCTGTGAGAGGCTTTGCAATGCAAACAGGGACCCCAAAGTTGGAACGCCAGAGTCGCGAAAGTGAGGCCGGCGGCGGTGATTCTCGTTGCAACTAGTGTGATGCGTGTTGCTGCAGGGCTCCGCCCCGCCAGCCTGTAGGCCGGCCTGTCCGGTTCATTGCACTCTATTGATTATGCTGAGTTTCGCTAGCTTCGCTGGCTTCGTTTCCCTTGCCCTGCCGGAGTGCGACGCGCGGGGTGCGTGTTTTCGGAACGACGTGTTTCCGTCCTCGCCCCCCCACTTCCCCGAAAAAAAGGGGAGAGGGAAAGAAAAGGGAATGAAATGAGTGGAGGAGAAACTGCAAGTGGCGCGGACACGAAGGGCCATCGGTTTGGCATGGGCAGGGCCACCACCTGTGCGCCGGGGTCCTTCACCCCGACGGGGTGTGCAGCGTGCATGGCCACGCAATCAGAGTGGCCCACACGACACACCCACCCCCCCAACGCACCACGAGGAGCTCTCTAAGCCCGACCTGGTTAGACACCCGAATTTCGCCTAGTACCACTGCGCCCAGCCAGCCGTCGTACTTTTCCAGTGTCTAGAACCGGGCGAGCGGGCTCGGTCGAAGCACGCGACTCGCCATAGCCACAGCTCCTCGGACTGCAGACCGATTCCGAGAGTCCTCTTCGTCGCTCTGTCTCTCTCGCACCCAACGCCCAATGAGTGCGAGAGAGACAGAGCGACGAAAACGACTCTCGGAATCAGTCTGCTGGGCTGAAGGTTGCGCGGGGCTATGGTCGAGGTAAAGTATGCTTGCATGGCCCCGTCGCTAATGGCTGCGAAATAATAGCCCCGTTCCAGACCACAGGCCCAAGGCCCACAAGGCCCGCGCGCCAAGGGTGAGCCCAAGGCCCGCGTGGCCCTGGACGACGCACAGTGGGCCAGAGGACCGGCGCCGGCGGTCAAAACTCGAGACGCGTTTTGAGCTCCAGAGTCGCTAAACAGGACACGGGCCGAACGTGTGACCCCACCAATGGATTCCCCGTTCGGAGAGCAATCCATTGGTGGTGTCGCACGTTCGGTTCGAGTCCCATTAGCGACCGTACTCACGGGGCGGCCAGGGGTTGGTTCTGGCCCACTGGTGGGCGGTCCGGTCGGCACTGGGTCTGGGGTTCAGCACGGTGCGTCGTCGGGCACGGCGCGCGTGGGCAGTCATCCAAACCCCGCGGCCCGTCGCACTGTCTCTCTCGCACTCGTGCACTCGTGGGGCGCCCCGCAGGGGTGCGAGAGAGACAGCGGCGCACACTGCCGAGTGACGTCTCATTAACGTGTCACGCCCGACGTTTCACGTGTCACTTTCGACGGACCATTAACGGCCCTTTTGTTTTTGTTGTTTTGACCAAGCGACCTACATGCTCGCGGGGCGGTCAAGACGCGCAACAATTCTGCTCTAAATCACTTGCTACATCAGTAGGCACACTGCGAGGCAAATATTGGATGGGGCGTCACCCCCGCGCGTCACTGACGCGCGTCACTAGACAGCCCCGCGACGCCCCCACACGCAGCGTGACGTCACGGGGTGAAGCGCGGCTGAAGGGTTTACGTCGACACTACAAGGAGTGGCGCGGCACCCTCACTGCCGGCCGCTCTGACGTCACGGCCGCCTTGGTCAATCAGGTGAAGTTCGACTCATTGAATAATGGACACCCTGGCCTCCGCCACTCCTCTCCTCCGGGAGGCCACGCCGGCCACGCCACGCCGGCCACGCCACGCCGGCTTCGACCAATCGGAGTCCAGGGCACCGTACAGTAGTGTCGTCCCAATAAAAACAGCCTTCATCGGCGTGCCGCCGTCCTTCCCTTGGACAAGGAGGTGGCCGAGGGCCGAGGGGGTGGCCGGGGAGAGGAGTCGGCCGAAGAGGTGGCCGGCGAGACCAGGAGGTGGCCATGGTGGCCGAGGCGGCGGTGACCGAGTTGGCCTGGCTGTCGCAGCGCATATCACGGCGCGTCACGGCGCGGCCTGCTTCTGCTTCCTGTTCCAATCCCGGACTGCACTCAATAGCGCAAATGAGCAAATCAATAGGGCGGCCTGTCACCCCGGCCTGTCCTGCATGGCCTGGTTCGCCTCCAGTCGGCGTCGCCTCTGCCGGCCTCGTTGTCGTCCTCGGCGTGCCGGAAGTGCCCGGAAGGTGTGGGGGAGGAAGAGGGGGGGGGGCCTCCGCACCCCCGCTGCAATACCTCAGCAAACTAGATTAAGTCATCGTCAAGTACAGAGCAAAACATTTATCAATTAAGGTCTTTTAGTCTCCCAGATTTTTGTAGCGAGGTGGAGGAGAGGACGGATCGAGTGGTACTCAAGCAATCAACGGAGGGGGCCGCGATGAAGAAATTTGCCCTTGCCACAAATATGTCGCATTTACGCTAGACACACCCAATTAGCCTTGACTATCGGGGGAGATTCCACTCTTTCTTTTCTTCGTGGTGCGACCGACTAATTGCTCGCGGCCTCGACTCCTACACTGCCGGGGGCTCCGCCACTGACAACATTCTCGCGGCCTCGCGGCGCGACGAGATAGCGGCCATCCTCCGCACACAGGAGCGGCCGCTGATTCACGGCCACACCTACACTTGGAAGTCGCGTCACCTCGGTCACGGGTTCGACTCCCCCCGGTGGCGGACGCGCTGTCTCGCTTTTCTTCTTCTTCTTCTTCTTCTTCTTCTTCTTCTTCTTCTTCTTCTTCTTCTTCTTCTTCTTCTTCTTCTTCTTCTTCTTCTTCTTCTTCTTCTCTTCTTCTTCTTCTTCTTCTTCTGAGCCCGCTGCTTTCTGCCCTTGCAGTGCTGCCACCCCTGCTGCCGAAGTGCTCCGCGAACGCTGATTGCGTGTCGCTGCTCGGCCAGCACTCGGCCTGCAGGGATTACTGGTGCGAGTGCGTGGACGGCGCCAAGTATGAGTCCGGCTTTAGCAAGCGCTGCCTCCGCGTCGTATCAGGTTCATCTCCCTTTTTTCCCTTCTTCAGCAGTACATTTTTTCAAAAACATTTTTTTAAAAGAATTCTGTTTTGATTTTTAAGAAAAAAATGATTTTAAGATTTTAAAGAAACTTTTTTTTTTTCAAATCTGTATCTTTCTGCTTTCTTCAATTTCTGTCTGTCCGCCTTAACCCGCGCTTTCCACTAACCATGGGCTAACGCCCCCAGCCCTTGGCGCTGCCTTGCCTTGGCGCTGCCCCATTTGACCGCGGTGGCCTTGGCCTGCGCAGCGATCGGCGACAGCTGCAAGGAGGCGGGGGACTGCCGCCGCATCGCCAACACGTACTGCAAGGCCGGCCGCTGTCACTGCAACAAGGACTTCGTCTTCAGCGACAGCGGAGCCGCCTGCCTCAAAGGTAAGAACTCGGATAGCGCCGACCCGCCCCACGCTGCCCCCTCCACCCACTGCCCGCTTTGACCGTTGCCAACTCTGCCCGCTTTGACCGTTGCCGTTGCCACTAGATTCCTCTAAACCTGGGGTTAGTTGCGTTGGTTTAAGGACACGGGGACAACTATTCCCTAGACAAGATTTGACAGCTTAAATCTCTCGCCATGTCGTTCTAAATTTTATTTTCACAAGGAAAACATCACGTTTGGTATGGCATAATCTCTAATAAAATCAAATCTTGCCTACGAAACAGCTGTTCCGTTTTTACCCCCGTGTCCTGAAATTACCCGAACTGACCATGCTCGCTTCGATCCTCCTTGACACCTGAGTCCTAAACCTACCCCCCCCCCCCCCCCAACTTCACCCAAACAAGGCAAACTTCACTGCATTTCGTGCTGCACTTGCTTGGAACACACTTGGCGGAGCCAATGGTTGCGCGAAGGCCCGAAAAAACAACACCACCACCCATCGTGCGCCCAATTCACCCCCGACAAGGTGTGTGTGTGTGTGTGAGTGTGTGTATGTGTGTGTGTGACTCGTTTGATAGAGGGCCTTCTCACGCCATTCTGCCATGTAGTTGTTGTACTAATACACCGCCTATCGACCTGCACTCGAGGCTGTGTGTGTGTGTGTCATGATACTCGCTGCATTATTAATTGGCCGGGGTGCATTCCAGTGACGGCGACAAAGTGGCGCGGCGGGCATTTCATTATCGCCTCCCCGACACGACGGCCTCCCACACCGAGAGGCTCGGAGAGGCCGTGACACCATTTCGTTTTCGCCTTTGGCGCCACGTCCCTGCGGCCACCGGGGAGTGCGCCTTTGGTCGTTTTCGCCGCTCCGTCTCCCTCGCACCCATACGGGGCGCCCCACGAGTGCGAGAGAGACAGAGCGACGAAAACGACTCTCGGAATCGGTTTGCAGTCGAAGCCGTTATCGGCCGGCCGGTCGGTCGGTCCTTTTCCAGTGGGTCAGTGGGACAAATATCGGAGGTGTGCGCTCCGCGCAAACAGGCAAACAGGAACAGAAGTCGGGGCAACGGGGTGGAGGAGGGGAGGGGAGGCGAAGGGAGGGGAGGGAAGTCTTGCCCTTTAGTTCGCCGGTTAAAGAGGGAGGGTCGGCCCTGCGCACGCAGACAGGCATTAGTGCTTGTCCGACCCACTTCCCCCCTTTTCAATGCACGGCACATCAACTGCCACCCCCTTCCACGCACCGCAGCGTGTGGTATGTGTAAATGACAATTCGAAAACAATTAGTTGCTGCGCGTACCCGCCACATTGACATTAGCACCCGCTGCTCCCTACTGGTGGGGATGTCCGCCGAGAGCGCCTGTGACTCTCGGGATAGGCAACCCTCTCCACTCGCGTGCAGCATTATTGCCTACCCGGAGATTCACAGGCGCTAGACGCCTGCCAGGGCAGGGGGTAGGCAACGCCGCTGCGCGCGAGTGGAGAGCATTGCCTAGCCGGAGTGTCACAGGCGCTGAGCGCGCTGAGATTTCTGGGAATCACTGGCAATGCCAGTGTAGCGGCACGCGGCGCGAGCTGCTGACTGATTCCGAGCGCCATCGCTCTGTCTCTCTCGCACCTATGTGAGTGCCTGATGAGTGCGAGAGAGACGGAAACGACTCTCAGTTTGATGTGATGGCGTGTCTGTCGAGTCGCCTTGCGGTGACCGTGTCCGGTCGCAGTGCAACATCGATACACGCCCGAAATAATGAAGGAGCCGCGTCGCTCTTCTCTCTCTCTCTCTCTCTCTCTCTCTCTCTCTCTCTCTCTCTCTCTCTCTCTCTCTCTCTCTCACTCCCAGTCGGCCATGCGGTGGCCTTTGCTCGATGTTCCACGCCGTTGTGCATCTTGGATGAGGGTCAGCCAGCGGCGCCCACCAAAATGAAAGAGAGGAACATACGAGTCTGACAGGAGGAAAACTAAAAACGCTTAGTCCCTTTTGGAATGTTTCTTACAACCCGAAAAAAAACATTAAACTGCGCTCTTTCGAAACCCTCCTTCTTAACGATTTTCGGCCGGCCTTCTTCCAGTGGCGACGGCGGAGAACCCCTCCTGCTCCGAGGACCGGCAGTGCGTGCGGCTGCTCAACAGCGCCACGGGCCCGGACGGCCCCGCCGTCTGCGTGGACGGCAAGTGCATGTGCCGCTACGACCACGTCTTCGAGAACGGCACCTGCGTCCACAAACAGGGTAATCATCGACCGCCCACAGGCGGCGCACTGCAGAGGCAATCGATGGATCGAAGCCGAAGCGAGTTTGCCGCGACAAGGGACACGTCATCGAGACGACCGTGATTTTTTTTCCCGCCGCCGTCAAGGCCGCCCAAGGCCGCGGGGATTGTGCGGGTCGCGGTGGAGGCAGGACTCGGCCGCCCGGCCGGCCTCGCTCTCTGGAAACCTTGTCATCAAGTAGCATACATAAGCTCACTACGAAAAAGTTCGTAATTTACGAACTATTTCTTCGTATCACAAACTAAGTAGTTTGTAAAAATATTAATATTTTTTGCCAAATTTGGTACACGAATGTAAAAGAAAAAACCAGAAGAAACAAAATATTAAAAATAACTGTACTTGTGTGTGTCTGTGTGCGCGCGCGGTGATGGGATGCTTTTGTGCGGTGATGGAGCTGTCCAGCCTGCTACCCCCACCCCCAACCCCCATCTCTGTTCGACACGGTTTATCTGGTTCTCCTTTTCCAAGGCCTCCCTTGATCAGGAACATGATGGTTTGGGTGCAAGCAGCCTTGGACTTGAAGGAGACATGGACGGCGGACGACATGCTGGCCAGGAACGAGGTTGCGCCTCCCCGCCAGAAGCGCGACATGGGCAGTAAGTACACCGGTCATCTGGTCCATTGTGCGGTCACGTCGCACTGTTATTCAACGAAATGACGTCGGTGTCCTCAGTTTCAGTGGCCACGATAGGTGTCGGGCTGGCGCTGGGGATGCTGCTCAGGGACATGGACCTGATGGGCCCCGCCTTGGAGGAGAACGGTACAGGTGAGATTCTCTCGAAATTCTGAGTACTCGGGGCACTCCTCGAAGAGATCTACTCAAGGTTGCACTGGAATCCCATCGGTAAGTTTCGTTGCCACACAAGGAAATTTACTCAGGGATTTGTACACAAAAATTCATCAAACATTCAAAATTCAGTGAAATTTATTAAAATTTATCGAAATTTGACTATTATTCATAGAAATTCGACTGAAATTCATCGCAATTTGACTGAAGTTCATCGAAATTTGTCTGAAATTCATTGGATTTGTACACCGGAATTCACAGTGATTTCCCCTTGGGTTTTAGCCCCTTTTTTGCATTTTCAAGCTGTTTACTAACAACGAACACCCTTTTGCAGTGTCCACCGCAGAGCCCGAGACGGTGTACGTCGTGTTCCGCAACGGCACCAGGGTGGTGTCCAACCTGACCGCCAACGCCCCCGAGGAGAGCAAGCTCAAGAAGTGGGTGCAGAAGCAGGTGCACTCGATGGAGCGGTCCATCATGAAGATCCGCAACAACCACCGAGAGGCCGTGGCTAGTCACACCGTCGCCCCCGAGCAGGCCGTCGGGGCGGCATCCCTGCCCTCCACCACCGCCGCGCCCGCCGAGGCCCCCGAGTCCACCGCACTGCCCAGAGCGCGGCGGAGTGCCAAGAGGAGGGGGAGGATGGCGCGGAGGAGGAAGCGCGACGACGAGCCCACTGCCGCGCCAGAGACTCCGGCTGAAGCTCCGGCCGAAGCCCCGGCTGAAGCTCCGGCAGAAGCTCCGGCAGAAGCTCCCGCTGCAGCCCCCGCTGAAACTCCTCCTGAAGCCCCAGCTGAAGCCCCCGCTGAAACTCCTCCTGAAGCCCCAGCTGAAGCCCCCGCGGAAGCTCCGGCAGAAGCTCCGGCTAAAGCCCCAGCTGAAGCCCCAGCTGAAGCCCCCGCGGAAGCTCCGGCAGAAGCTCCGGCAGAAGCTCCGGCAGAAGCTCCGGCAGAAGCTCCGGCAGAAGCTCCGGCAGAAGCTCCAGCTGAAGCCCCGGCTGAAGCCCCGGCTGAAGCCCCGGTTGAAGCGGCCCCGGAAACTCAGCTCCTGCTCCTGCCAGCACAGCGGCCCCGGACGCAGCACCTGAGGCGACCACCGCCGCAGCCACCACACCGCAGGCGACGACGCCGCCACCGACCACCGCGCCCACGACGCCGCCGCCTCCCCCACCGGAAACCACCCCGAAAGCGAGTGCGTGAACCACCGGGCGTGAACCCAGCCGCACCTCGGAATCTTGTTTCACTTCACTTTTCCGGCAAAAATAAATCGTCTTAAAGTCTCTAAGCACTTGCCGTACAGCTAGTCTTACTTTTTGAACTTTCGGGAACGCCGCTGTCCGCGACGCCGGTGGCTGACAATCGCTTGGTTCTTGTTTGTGAGCAGATGACGCAGCGCCACCGGACGAGCCGATGCAAGGCGACCAACCCGCCGCTGCAGGTATTCCCCGGGACCAACGACGCCTCCCAGCAAAAATGGCCTGGCCTCCGAGAGTCGTCGTCACAGCTCTGTCTCTCTCGCACTCATGGGAGGACCCGTAGAGGTGCGAAAGGGACAGAGCGACGAAAACGACTCTCGAAATCAGTCTGGCGTCTTCTTCCGTCACTGTTGCTGCGAGGCGTCAGTCAACCCTCGACACTGATCCAATTTCTTTCCTCCACCTTGAGATGTCTAGCGTTTTCACAAACTGTTTTCTTTCCCCGTGCTGCGGTAGGACCGACGGATTCGAGTACGTACTCCTTCGTGTGACGTTGAACCCCAGCCCAGCCTTCCCTGTCGGTGGCGCTACCCCTCGACGCCAGTGGCGCTAGCGGCGGGCGCGGGGTATCGCCTCCGCCAAGGGAGGAAACACCCACCCCCGCTTGTCGCTTTCCGTGCTCACCGTGTTCGGGTGTCGCTTGGGAGTGTCTAGGGAATACAGAAGGAGCCCTGGAGTCGTTTCCGTCGCTCTGCCTCTCTCGCACTCAAAGGGCGTCCCGTATTGGTGCGAGAGGGACAGAACGACGAGAACGACTCTCAGTGTGCAGGGCGACTGAACGGCGTGCTCTGTTCCAGCCCGGGGCAAGAGCTGCGCGGCGGACGCCGAGTGCGCGGACCTGGACGGCGGCGCCTGCGTGCAGGGCGTGTGCGGCTGCAAGACGAACTTCGTCCCCGCCGTGGCCGCCAACAAGTGCCTGCCGGGTAAGGCGACATGTCGCGACAGCGGCAGGGTTGCACGAAACAAGAATGAAAGGCAGAGCTGGTAGAGCTTTGTTGTTGTTTGGTTCAGTCCAGCGTAGCCTGGCCGCGGCCTGCGAGGAGGACATCCAGTGCTCGGAAGGACTGGGTGACCTGGGCCGCTGCTCGGCGGGCAAGTGCGCCTGCCCCGACGGCGCCGTGCTCGGCGCGGACAACAAGTGTGCCTGCGCGGACGACGAGGAGCTGAACAAGGCCGCCAACCGCTGCGAGAAGGCGGCGCCGGGCAAGCAGCTGCAGCAGCAGCAGCCCGCCAAGGAGGGGCAGCTCAGAGACAACAAAGGTACTCGATGCCGCCAGGTACACTCTTATTCAGCGTGTGCCTGTACACTCTATTTTAACGTGTGCCTAGCGAGTATGCTGTAAATAAGAGTGTACTTGGAAGCATGCTCTAATAAGAGTGTACTATGTACACACTTCAGTTTGCAGAGTGGCTGGGAACTGGGAAAGGGTGGTGCTTTTGCAAGATTTCTTTGACGTGCCCCTCTGTTTGCAGGCGGTGCTGGCTCCCTGCAGTCCTCGGCGACGGTCGTCATCGCACTTCTCGCATGTGCCGCATACAGCTTGGCGTAAAGAAATGCCAGAACACAATCTTTTTTAAGATTTATAGAAAAAACAACTTTGGTATTGTGTCCAATAATTTTAAGGCGTGTTGAAGAATTCATACCCATACACTGTCATTCATTTTGCAATACTTTCACAAAAAAAAATTTGCTAAAAAAAAAACAGTTTGCAATTTCCACGATTGATCGCACACTGGGATACAATAATTTAGTTATTGAAATATTTTGCTAAGAACATTCCTTGATTTTTATGACAAAAGAGACTTTAGCAGGACTCTCAGTAGACATTTGCAACAGAATACTTTAATTTTGCTAATAGTAGTTTCTTTTATCACAGATTTTTTTGACAGGCATTAATGGAAATCATTCCAATAATCGTTTTATAGAAAAATATAGAGAGTGGGTATTGCTGTTTGAATGGCAGTGTCGTGATTGTTTATAATCGAACGTAAGAGTAATAATCGTGTTAGCAACGTACTCTGTTTTCTTGCTTTGTATAAGATGCTGTTCAGTCTTTATTTATTCCCCGCCCACCGTGAGGCCCATCGCGATTAGGCTAAGAGTACTTGTAAGTTGATAATGATAGAGTAGATAGATCGTGTTTTTATGTACAAATGTCCAGGCCGGCCCTATTGATTTTGGTCCGAGTCATCAACTTGCCACAGGCCAGGCCTTTGATTAAGATCTTGATAGTAATTAGAATGGCCTAAAGTGTGTTTATTTGAGAAAGCGGAGTGCTTTCGGAGGGCCAGTGTGCGTACGTAAGTCGGAACTTTGTCCAAAGCTCCGCATTTTTTGAGAAGTAAAATGTTTTTGTCTTTGACGCGTGACTTGTGTTTTCCTTCCTGCACTGCAACAACACAGAAATGGTTTGCCAGCCTACCCTGCGAACTAAAGGCGCAAGGCAGGTATATGAACCAGGTCACTACTGCGGTTGATTCAGTTGATTGAGGTGTTGTCACCCAAATTTGGGCAAAATAGGATGCTTCTGTTACCTAACGAATCGCGTCATCACTTAAGTTTAGGTCAGGAAACTAACTTGATTCCATACTGGGTAATAACGTGTCCCTCACCATAACGTTGGCGCCATTCCTCGTCCAAAACTGTTGTCGCGATGGACTGAATGAGAAAATTCAAAGATAAGAAATTAAGACACCTTGGGGGTCAGAAAAATGCTCATTACCTCTCTACAGTGTAGACGGCGGCAAAGTAGAGCACGGTGTTGGCGCGGCTCCGCGCAGTTCCCGGAAAGGGTGGCTTGGCGCAGTGCAGCGACGTGTCAGTGGCATGACTGGCCGATTGCCTGCGTTGTGCTTCTTTGTGCGTCTTTGTGCGCGGGGCCGCGTCAGGAACGGGAGCAACCCCTCGCACGCGGCCCGGGGAGGCCCGTGCCTTGCACCGCGCCAAATTCAAACCAGTCCGGGCCGCGCGGGCTCGGCGGCAGGGTCGGGGTTTGTCCGTGGAGAGCGCCGACGGAGGACATGAGGCGACCGCCAAGGGGTGCACCGCACCGCGCGTCGTCTGCTTTGCCTTGACCGAGGTCGTGGCCAGGATGAGGGCTTGGGCTGGCCTTTGCCTTTGCCTCCTTCTCGTCCTGGAGCGTGCAAGCGCCCAGGGCGACCTCGGTGAGTTTCGACGACACAACGTACACACAAAACTTTTGCGTGTACTCAGTACACTCCTCGAATACTCTCATTCCAGGAAAATTCCGCCACGTTGACAGGAGTCTGACAGAAGGTCACTCTCCTTTGAGCATTGCGTCACACTCGTTCGAATGTGAAAAAGCTAATTTATGGCCGATTCACATCCAAACAAGCGACACACAATTCGTAAAGGTGAATGACGTTTTGTCGCGCTCGGTTTAACGTGATGGAACTTTCTTGGAATGAGAGTGATGCAAGTGCTTGTAAGTATACGTGCTTCGAGGAGAAGTGTACTTGCCACGATGTGTGAGCTTGAATGCAACCGAGCGAGACGAGGTTTCTTTGGCTTTCGGTCAGGGCTCGGGGTGGACTGCGACACCAGCGAAGACTGCCGCCTCCACGCGTACTGCGGGCCCGGCAGGGTGTGCGCCTGCAGAGAGACCTACGTGCCCGACAAGGACAACATCACGTGCCTGGCAGGTGCGCCATCAAACTACTTCGTGTGTTTGCAGGTTGAAGCATGCCAGCATGTTGACTCACCCTTGAGCCTACTTGGCATGTTACTTACTCAAAAAGCATGCCTGGCGTGTACACTCCAGGTGGCGCATGCTGGCCAGGTACACCCCATGTACATTGCTGCTAAAGTTCCCCATCTTTGGCATGAAAAACAGAGCAACAGTGTCACATACCTGATTTGGCAAGCACTTGGAGTTGACATGCCAGGCATGCTTCAGGTGGATGGAGTGTTCACGCAGGCATGCTTCAACCTGAAGCCTCACACTGAAGTGGAAGTGCGCAAAGTATCCTTTACAATAGAAGGAAAATCGTTTCAGGCCTCCGGCAAAAGTGCCAGTACGATGACGGGTGCGTGCCGAACGCCTACTGCCGCCACCAGGAGCGGTGCGAGTGCAAGGAGGGCTTCATCCCGACGATGGATCTTCTACACTGCAAAAGTAGGTTGCACGGTCTTCAAAATGGTTCAGTTGGTTTTGGTTAAGATTAACTGTTGCTATGAAATTTGGTGCTTATTGCAGGCAGCGCTCCGTCAGCCATGTGCATACCCGGTTTCGTGTTTTTATTGGATCTTGTTCTTGTTTTGACAAATTTGCAAGTCTGACCACTGTAAAACGTTTCTATGAAATAAATGACGCTTTTCTTGGAAGTGTTTCGGGAGAGAACAAAAAAGGAAATCACACACAACATTTTTGAATGGTACAGTCATTCAAACGTTTATTATTCTTAAAAAATAACATCGACATGTTACAACGAAATGAAAGAAAACTTAACGAAACGTTTTAATCGCAATAAAGACTGCAATTAACATCACAAAATGCTCAAATTGAATTATGATGAGAGCTTGTTTCGGCAAAAGAGGCTTTGGATGATGTGTGCAAGATAAGACCAAAGTTAAGAAAGATATGTGACTTGTCAGGTTCGTGTGTCAGCGTAGCGTACAAGTCACTTTCTTTGTTTCACGAGACTTGTTCAATGTAACATGAATTCAGCTATGCCTCGCGGTACAGATTCCAATCAGCACTGGTGTGGCCAGTGAGAATAATCCCTAACATTTAAAAATATCAGCAAAACCGATTTGTTAAAAAAATAAGAGAGTCGTTAAACACTTTGACGGTAAACTAAACAAACTGAAACACACGTATTTGATTGCCTAATGTTTACACAGACTATTGTAGGTAACAAATAAAATGACGAGGTACAATGACAGGATTGACTTTGTAAGTAACACACAACAGTTTGTTGATGATGAACATACAGAGAACTAAAGTAGCTAATAACACACCCCAGCTTGGAATACTCATTCCCGAAGCTACCCGACGATGCCAAAAAGCAGCGCACACTAACCGGTTACATAGTTATTTGCACGTGGCTAACGTTAGTTTACAAGCACGCGTAAAGTACGTAAAATTAAACACGTAGCTGCGTAAAATTTGAAACATAATTACGTACAGTATTGCAAATATATGATGCAATTACGTATTTAAACTGTGCAAAACTTGAGCATCGCTCGTAAACTTACGTAAGCGTCGTACAATTTAGTACATAACTAGCTGGCGTGCGCAGGCTAGCCCCGGTGTGCAATGTATGCAATGCAGTATGCAGTCCGGAATGTGCGGGACTTTGTCAGTCGTACGCAGCTTAATCTTCCAGGCGCGTCATAATGTCGCACAAAGAGAGAGTGAATAAAATTTTTCATGCTGAAATACTTTCTAACACGTCATGCGAGCCCATGCTTGTAGTCAAAAGTTCCTTCTTGACGATTTTTTTTAAAATGTGAGATTGTTAAGTCAAAGGCGTCTGAGTTCCCGCTTAAGACGCGTGCTTAGTAACGCTCAACACACGGCCAATTTGCAAGCACCCGCCTTAAGCCGAGTCAGCGTTTAAAGGATGTGCTAATATTTATGATGTAACATTTACCGTAAAATTTTCACAAAAGTAATTTGAAAGCGGATTTGGAGAACTCAGAATCGTAGATGTAAGTAGCACGACAATCTCGTCAAAGCATCCCAAACTACTGGCAACGTATTTACACCATGCTCATTCTGGATTTGTTAGGCTCTAAAATGACAACATAGACCATAAGTCAGTTTCACAGTGTTAAAACACAGAAATAATGTAAACGCATAGCATATCCGACGTTAAATTTCGAATCAGATCGGCTACGTTAAAAAAATAAGGCGTGCGATTCATTTATACAGTGTAAAACCATAATTACACTCAAAACAATACTGATATTTATATATGTACAGGTCAAAAGGACCCCTTCGCTAGAGAGAGGGTCGATTAATTTCAACAACAAGAATAAAGCTTCAAGAATTTTGTAAGACTTCAGTTCATTTTGTTATCAGGGCGAACATTTCCGAGAAAGGATACATTTCCCTGACTCGTTTTACAAGTCGTGACGTGCAGATTGGTCAGAGTCTGACTGATCGCAGCCAGAGTCGCCGCCGAGGGTGGTGTTGCCAAAACTTTGCGGAACCCTACACAGCAGCTGTAAAGTTACAGTCTATGTTACGAATTACGATCTCAATACACAAAGCTAGCTTTTTTTTTTTTTGGAAAATCACTCTTGACGTTGGCATGTAAGCCCTTCGACATATATTTCATGTCACAACTATCTGTGTAATAATATGGTTCGTTACTACAGTTTTTGTTGCCTGGGTTAATTGGGTAAATTCTAAACATTTCTATCAGTCGGTTCCACTTGCCCTCTACTTTGGTCAAAGCTATTTTTGTGACTAAAGCCGAGCAGGCGTAAGGCAACATTTTCTCTTTATTTACCCTCTCAAACCGAAGAAACGTATCACATCCACCAATCTCATCTTTCTGTAACAGCGAAGGAGAAGAAGAAAAAGAAGTCTAAGGCATGGTGTAGCGCATCGACATTGCAGTTTAAAAACGCAATCACGTATATGTACACTTTATGTACAGTTTATCATACAGTTCGTAGTTACACGAATCAAAACAATTACCCTTGGTTATTCGACTCTATGATCGACAGAACTTTGCTTCGGTTAGGCTTGAACGGTCCAGAGGATTACATAACTGAAAATAGCTAAACTCGACTCATGGCTGAATTTTGGTCAACTCGGTAAGAGGAAAACACAATATTCTCTATTGGCACAATGCTATCAGGGTCTCAGAAATCAAGACCCTGCGATGACCGTCGTCTTTCTTTGCCGAGCAAATCTCTTTTGATTGAAGAAAGAAAGTGGAGGAGGTTCAATAATGATTTCCTACTCTTCTCAGCAATACACTGTGCTTGGCCTTTCCCTCCTTACGAACGGGAGTGGTTCTACTTTCGAAGCAGGCGGCGTCCCTCAACAACAAAATCAGAGCGGAATGTAAACATTGGCACAGAAACAGCAATCAAGCAGGCATAGAGGTTGTCCGGAAGCCAAGTTCACGCCTCGAGGGTTGGCAACACTGCTGGAAACAAGTTGTACTGGAAATGTACGGAGGCTTCGTTTTTCAAAACATTGTTTTAATTTATCTCCCGGAAACTCAAAAAAAGAAGAAACAGTAGGTTTTTGATTCCCCTTGATATGAGGCACCTTTTCTTTCAATAATTTCTCCAGGACTTTCCAAGGTTTCACAACAGTGTACCTAACTCTCACGGGCAACTTAAACTACCTGACACCATTCGTGACTTTTCATTACCCCTTTCCGCCGCGAGAAAGGGGCCAGTCGTCTAACCAAGGTTTGTGACAATAAGCTTCAACAACGGCAAACAACAATAACAAAACTTAACGCTATACAGTCCAGAGTCCGCGATACAGATCTCTTCAAAAATATCACTCTTTCTTCATCACTTTTGACTGGGGGGCATCACTTTGACCGAGTGAGTTCAGTCGTAGCGGTACCTGCCGCTACTGCCCTGGCCGTGCCCGCGGCTGCCGAGGTAGGGGCTGGGCTCGGCGCTGCGGCTGCCTTGGTGGCCGTACAGTGGCTCTCCGCGGCCGTCCCTGCCGGCGTAGGTGCTGCCCCGCGCACTGTGGTTGCCGTAGACGCTGCCGTGGCCGCTGCCGTGCGCGCTGTGGCCGCCGTAGAGGCTGCCGTGGGCGCTGTGGCCGCCGTAGGTGCTGCCGAGATCGTCCTGGTGGCCGTGCAGGCCGTGCCGCTGGTCGTAGGGGCTGAGCCTGGACCGAGAGTGGTCGGCGTAGCCGTCGCCGTGCCGCTGGTGGGAGTAGGAGCCGCTGGGCCCCGCGCGGTCCGCGCTGTAGGCGCGCTCGTGGCCGTACGCGCGGTCACCACGGTCGGCGTTGTAGGCGCCGCCCTGCGTGTGCGGCCGCCGGCTGTACACGAGCTCCGCCGTGTAGGCGCGCTCGCGCTCCTGGTTGGCCAGCTCCCGCGGCGTGTAGCGCTCCTGCTGGCGCTCGAGGACGTGATCTTGGACGTGTTCCTGGTGCAGTTCGTGTTCCTGGTGGTGGCGGTGTTCCTGGTGGTGGTGATCCTGGTGATGGCGTTCCTGGTGGAGGTGCTCCGGGTTGTCGGTGTAGTCCGTGTAGGCGCCGTGGTCTTGCGTGGCGGTGTGGGTGGGGGAGTGGGTGTTTGGGGCGCTGCGAGGCTGGGCACTGAGGCCAGGCACGGGGTGTGGCACGCACAGAGGCGCGTGCCCTAGGGGTGCCGGCGTCCCAGACCTCGCAGCGTCGTGTTATCCTTCCAGGAATATGAGTGCTGTCGGCTTGGGCTCGAGGTTCGACTTCTTGGCCTCGATCACTAGGAACTCGATCTCGCCGCGGTCGCGGCGCGCGAAGGACTCGGCGATCATCCTCGCCACGTCCTGGTGGTGCATGGCTGCGGGCAGAGAGGAGGTTGTCACGGTTCGTCGCTCCAGAGTGCCCCTAGGAGGCAGGCAGCCCAACGTGCCGCGGTGCACGCTGGGCGCCGTACTGGCCGGGCGCGCTGCGCTTCGCTGCGCTTCGCTGCGCGTGATACTCACACTCCACGCGGTGGCCGTCCACTTCCAGGATGAGCTGGCCCACCTCCAAGCCGCCGGCCTCGTACGCCGCGCCGTGCTCCTGCGGCACACGAAGCAACACATGTCCATGTCTGAGATCTCTCCTGCACTCTTGCGGCAACGCCCCATGAGTGCGAGAGAGGCATCGCGACAAAGGATGCTGTCAAGGCGAGGCACTCACGTGGATGTTGATGATGCGCGGCAGCGGGTGCCTGGTGTTGGCGCCGCCTTCGATGGCGATGCCCAGCAGCGGCTTGTTCTTCCGCACCGTGATGCGCAGGTTGCCCAGCTGGTCGGCCACCACCATCGCCTGCGTCATGGTTTATAAACATTAATTATTTGTACATTTCTTTAGGTCCTTAGGACATGGGTCCTTAGGACATGGGTCCTTAGGACATGGGTCCTTAGGACATGGGTCCTTAGGACATGGGTCCTTAGGACCTAGTGGTAAATGAAAGACCTACCGCCTCCGCCTCCCTGCTGGCATCGTCGTGGGCCTGCCGGCCGAGCCCCAGCCTCTGCATTGAGTGGTGGCGGCGCATCACGGGGTCCGTCTCCAGCAGCTCCTGGTCCTCCTTCATGTCGAAGCTGCGGCCCAGCTTGTGGGGGAGCTGTGGACACGGAGCGAGCGGCTTGAGGGACACACCTCGACACTCAAAAATGGCTACAATGCATCGACTTCATAAACTACAAAGGAAATGAAGGCATTGTGGCATTGATTCGTATTATAAAAGAATCCTTCGTTTTGCGAAGAAATGCTTCGTATGAGGTAAAATGCTTTGCGGAGTATTGAGAACAACTGCTTTGAATTGATGAAGAAATCCTTCGCACTATGAGGAAATGTTTCATAGACAAAATCGTTCGAAATGTCAAGAAATGATTCATAAATAGTATGAATTACTCAAAAAAGAAATGGTTTACATTACGATGGATTTTTCTTCAAAATGCGGAGCATTAATTCGTAGATTTTAAAACGCTTTCGTTTTCTTCGTATTGCGAAGCGATGCCTCGTAGACAGTTCACTGCAAAGTAGGGTAGACAGGAAAAAAAGGATGGGTCTGTGCTCCTGAGTTGCTTCGCGCGGTCCGACCTCGGATATCCCAGCGGCGTCCCTGGCCACCCTTTCCCAACCATACAGGAGTGCAGGTTCCGACTCTTGGATCAAGAACGACCCTTCGGTACGCCTGGAAAACGGAGTGGCCGAGACAAGCAAGACTTTATCCGATCCTCCATAATGACGTCTCTCAACGGACCACGCATTTATTAATGATGTTTTGAGGTTAGTAATAATTCGATTAATGATAATGACAGTTTCAAAACCTGTTCTTTACACGGCGCATTATTGGTGCAGAGTGATTGTGCACGTTGTGACAGCAAAAACCTCTGTTGTGTCATTTTTTAGTGCTGCATTAGCACTCTTCTTGAAAAAAGGAAAAGTCTACAATACTATACTACTTGAGTATTTTCAAAAGGGTGCATCAGAGCAACATTTTACACCTCAATCTAAATAGGTGCCGAGAGGTATGATCTATGTTTTAAAAGGAAAAGAAAGAGCAAAAAAAACAATAATGATTTAAGGTTTATTTTTAAAATTATCTATCGCGGTTACAACAGCGAAGCTAATGTAGTGTCTGCTCTTCTACAGTGCCTGGAAGACTTTATACTGTGTCTAGAACTCATACAGTTTTGTTTACCACTATAGTGCGGAAATGTTACTGCCACTAGAGTATACCTTGCGATCGCTATTGCACTACTTCAAAGTTCAAACTAGGATAAATCAATCGGGATTTTGGAAATGATTTAACTATGTCTCTAAATTTGCTTTGCGTGGAAGTTGGAGCTGCCATGGTTCATAAGAAGGTGCGGCTGGAAATTGCGAAAAAGGAAAGGAAAAAAATACCATAAATGGTCATGCCAAAAACTACCCTTGAATGGTATTACGCTAGCTAAAGTCTGTTGGTGACAGAATGGAAACAGCGTGCAGGTCGACAATATACATGATGCATTTCGGCGCTCCGTTCTAAGTGCAGCGATTTGTTGAAACAAACTTACAAGAGGACTCCCCCAGTACCATGACTTGACTTTCTGAGTCCAGCCACCCAAGTGCGAACGCAGGCCCTCCAAGTAGCCGGGCTGAAAACCGTTTGCAAAGTTGAGGAATACACTAGTCTAGAGAGGACACAGTAACTACAATGCATGGGACTAGCAGTGTCTACTAGACAAGGGCTACACTCAACCCACAGTATACACCACGACGCTACAAATCTGTCCACAACTCTAGTCAATAGTCTACATAGAAACGACTCCTAACTATCCTAGACGAGGATTTCTTATACAAGGATACAAGGGGGCCTTGTTTTTCTACCTAGTATACACCCCAGAAAAAAAACTCATACCGATAGAGACATATTTCTTCAAGGGAAGACGTGAGTAAGTGAGAGAACTTCATTTGTGCTTGTTGTGCAGGCACGATCCCAGCATTTTGTCGTCTCCAACGGTACGAGATTTTTTTCCGAAGGTGTATGAAAAACTAAAGAGGTTTCACGTTTTATAACAACTGCTGTACATAATAACTCCGGTCCTGTCATGGGACGACAACAACATCAACAACAAAAACAAATTAGGTAATGTTGAGGTGTCACTCCAAATGAACCGGGAGCACGAGTCCTCGGCCGAGTCCGACGTCCAGACGCCCAGAAGCGACGAGCAGCTAGGACCCGTCTGTCCGGGGAGACGGACCGGGACCAGGAGGAGGGGGAGGGGGGACAAAGAGAGAGGAAGAGAAGGAGAAGCGGGGCCGCGGTGCGCTTCGGGGAAGCGGCGGGGCAGGGGGGGCGGGCGCCTCTCCAGGTCAGCGGGAGGGGAATGGGAAGGGGGCGGGAAGGGGGGGCGGGGCGGAGGGGCCATCTGCCGGCCGCCGCGGTGAGGGGCTCAGTTGTTGTCGTGCGTTAGACAGCCGCGCATCTCGTGTACTCGCGGTCTCGTCCCTGGTCGTCGTCCCTACTCGTCATTTTCGCACTGCCTATCCAAGGGCAGTATCGCTGTCCGAAACTTGGGTTTCAAAAGAGAGAGAAGACAGGACAGAGTCAAGCTGAGTGCAACCAGTGCAGTCGCCATGAGTCGAAGCAGCAGTCCCCAGGTGAGGCTCTTCTGTCTGGCTTTATCACTCAAGATTAGTTTTCAGGATCTAAGAAGGCTTGGATTGCTTCTTTCCGTCGCGGCTACTACTGCTCTTGCTGCTGCTGTTGTTGTTGTTGACGAAATGAATTTCGAAGCTTAGTACACTCTTTCATTTTATTTTTTATTCTTTCAGTCCAATTGTTTTCAAAGACAAGTTTGTTTTGACTCAAGAACACTCAAGCTGGACCCCCTTTTTTGCTTAGCACATATACATGGTGATCCCAAGGAAAAGCTATGCAAGTTAATTCGAGACGTTAGAAGTCTCGGGATGCGCGCATCGCTATTCTGGCTTCGGGTGGAAATAATCTTTGTTCGAATCGCACGCCTGAGCCGTGTCGCGTTAGTCTAAGCGTCCTGGTTGGTGTGCGTGCCGCACGGAGAGCGGATGCGTTGTGTGTGTGTGTGTGTGTGTGTGTGTGTTGTGTTTGTGTTTGTGTGTGTGTTGGTGTGTGTATTGGTGTGTGTATTGGTGTGTTGGTGTGTACGTGTGTGTGTCCCTTGCGTGTTGCGCACGCGGCAAGCCGACGGCAAGCGCACGGGGCGTTCCGTTAGCGCGGTCCTCGAGGGAAGTCGAGGGAAGGACGCTGCGCGGCGCCGCGGCCGTGACAGGCTGCGTGACAAAATGACAAAAGCACGCGACCTCCGCGGGGCGACGCGGCGACGCGGCGACGCGGCGTGTCACCACGAACAAGGAGCATGGCGCCAGGCGAACCGGGGCGCCGCCGCAGCAATCGAACTCGGACCTCGGGGACGCTGGACGCTCACTGTCAAAATTTGTTGCCACTTTATGACAAAAACGAAACCGAAACCCCAACTCAGCCCTGACTTCTACAACCCAACCCAGAACCGATCCCCGGCTTGGACGACCTTTTTTTTTGCGGTGGCTGTGGCGGCTAATCCACGGCGATCCGAACGGGAAGGCTCATTGCAGTGAATGCGATTAGCGGATTTCAGCCACCATGTGTGTGACTAGCCTAGCCTCGCGCGGGGTGCGTCCTAACGGGCTGGCCGCGCGGATTGGAGCCGACGGCAGGCAGCAAGGCTGTGATTCCGAGAGTCTCGCTCCGTCTCTCTCG